TGTCATTCAGCTTTGATTAAGTTCATGCACAGATTATGCTTTCAGTCGTTTACGTTTGATCGTGTATACAGAATATGCGTGAGCGCAGTTTAGCTTCGGTCGAGTACACTTAGAAAGCGTACAAACGCAAAATAGGAGTATGCAGGAGTATAATATACTCGTTCGCAGCTTTCTTAAGGCTTTCTTTGTGGCGCATTGACAGATTATAAAAAAATCTTTTCCGTTATACAGGGTGTATAGAAAAAGAAAATTTTAATAGAAATCAAACTATTGTTATAATTTAAATGCCTGAACAATTTTCTAAGCCCACAGGTGCACAAACATGCACAATCGAATAATATCTAAAGCTGCACGAATTGATATACTACCTTAAGTCAAGAAATTATGTTCCTGGAAGAACTCTCAGATCGTCTAACGACGTGAAATTGGAAGTGCTGTTAGTTAATGGTACTTTCCAAAACAGTGCTAATTTAATAATTTGCCAGCATGCAGATATTAGAAGTTGTAACGATTTTAATATTTCTAGACGAAAAAATACGAACTCATTTAACTGCCTAGCCAACACTAGATTATTAGGATCAGCTAAAATACATGATTATGATATCTATCTTATAATACATTATTTGTAAATATAACCGTCGTACAGTTTTGACTAGTTTTCGAAATTGTTCTTATAACTTACTAAATAATGGAAATGTAAGAGCCACTCTGCGGAATTCTCATTAAACCTTTATTATAATTATTATTATTATTATTATTATTATTATTATTATTATTATTATTATTATTATTATTATTATTGTTCAAGGTCGTGCTTTTCACCGGTGATCAAGAAACATTTTCCAAACGTTTCATACCGGTACGTGCTTTTTTATGTCTGCATATAACTCTAGACGATAAAAACTAAATAAAGAGATGATTTTGTCTTCCCTTTTGAACTTATCCGCCGTTTAAGCTAAACGCGTTTGGAACTATCGGTCTCAAGAGCAGAAAGGCTTGTGTTCTTGTGACAAAGGTATGTAATATATGCATGCACAAAGCTGATGGTATTTTACGCATCCAAAGGCTTAGCTAGTGTAATGATGGGGCATTTGAATTATAACATGTACAGTAACTTAATTTCCAAAGGTCTTCTTTTATATATATATATATATATATATATATATATATATATATATATATATATATATATATATATATATATATATATATATATATATATATATATATATATATATATATAAATACATAGTTTAATTACATTTGTCACTGCAGTGATCGCTTTTCGAGTCTTTTGAGCATCCAAAAAGCGATATTTATGAAACACGTTTTTGGTTGAAATTAGTAATGAAGAAGCTAAATTAAAAACTTCAGTAGCGAAATAACAAAATATAGAACAAACAGGCAACTTTGAAGAAACAAGACTGGCTTTTTGTATTTAAATTAACCATTTTCAAATTTTTTAACGATTTAAGTTAAAACAAGACATTTCAACACACTACTACACTACGCATTACTCTAGTGTAATATAAATGTTCATACCTGCATGCAAGGTGTGTAGCGAGCCCCAAAGATCGACTAGGCTTTACAATTTTGGTAAATATGCGATTGGCAAAATCGGACGTATATAATCTTTCGTAAAAATAGAGGAGTATGAATATTTTGCAGACGTATTGAGTATTGGCTGAAATACATGCAAATTACACAGCTGTTTTCTTGAAATTTGTTGATCTTAATTGTGATCATGATAAAAATGCAAAGACGATCAAGGACGCAACACCACTTGTAATATTGGCAAATAACTCTGTTAAGTTTGCTCAATTTTCGACTGACAAAGACGATTTTGGGAGGCTATAGATCTCTGACAAAAGCCTTTTGTGCATATGAAGATAGATTTTAGTAAACAGTTTTTAGTTTCCAATACTAAAGATATATACGCACTGCGGAAGGGTCAATTACACTAGGGCAGTGACAAATTTCAATGGCGACATGAATGGGTGATAATTATTTCTCCATGACAGGTATCTGTCATGCATGTCGTCGTTGAATTTTCTATTGTCTTTGCACCCCCTGCAAGATGGCATCTTTAACCTTGGAAGGGTCTATACGTATACACCTGCAGGCATGTTGTACCGAGTCCCAAAGATCGTCTAGGTTTTACAATTTTGGTGAATATGCGATTGGCAAAGTATATAATAATATAAATTTTATACTCGTTCGCAGTTCTTAAAAGCGTTCTTTGTCACGGCATTTATAAAAAAATCTTCTCCGATATACCGAAGTTTTCTGTTTAGAAAATTCCATGCCCATTATCTCCACGGCCTTAAAGTATTTCAAGTTAAAAACTGCGTTGAATTTTAAAGCGAAATTGTTTCGCTTAAAATTTTGTTTGAGTCATTTAAACATTAATACAAAATAAAACAATCTTTAATTTAAAATTGACCCAAAATTTGTTTACCTATCTAAAACCCAAAATTTGTTTACCTATTTTATCAGCCTCGTATGGGCTATCTGTAAAACAAGGAACGGGGAATCGGGGAAAGGAATGGGGAAAGGAACGGGAAACGGTAAAACCAGGAATGGGAAAAGCCAGAATCTGTAATACCAAGAACGAGAAAAGCCGGAATCTGTAAAACCAGGAATGGGAAAAGCCGGAATCTGTAAAACCAGGAATGGGAAAAGCTGGAATCTGTAAAACCAGAAATGGGAAAAGCCGGAATCTGTAAAACCAGGAATGAGAAAAGCCGGAATCTGTAAAACCAGGAATGGACCTAGCCCCTTCTATATTATTATCATAGTCTCTTATCATTATTAAAATTATTCGTTTATACTTTACATTTTACGCGCAATATCTTATATATAAAGATAAAACGAACAATTCAATACGTAAATAAAGCAATCTTGAATGTCAAAATTTCGACTTCATTTTAAAGAAATCTTCAGACAGAATGAAATACGATACTTTACAACGTATACAACACAGAGAATTTAAGCGCACGTCTGTCAAACGTCTGTTGCGAATAAAATTATAAAACTGAATATGTATATAAAAGCAAACATAATAATGTTGATATGATAATAATTTTAGATAGTCTATGATAAATATGTATGATAACAACAATGCTACAGTCTGTTCCCGTTTGTTAATTAACACCAGTCGCCCCGTAGGACAAACACGCTCTACTGTTGTGAATATGATCAAAATCAAAAGAACATAAACATAACATTTATTCCTGGTTTTACAGATTCCGGCTTTTCCCATTCCTAGTTTTACAGATTCCGGCTTCTCCCATTCCTGGTTTTACAGATTCCGGCTTTTCCCATTCCTGGTTTTACAGATTCCGGCTTTTCTCATTCCTGGTTTTACAGATTCCGGCTTTTCCCATTCCTGGTTTTACAGATTCCGGCTTTTCTCATTCCTGGTTTTATAGATTCCGGCTTTTCCCATTCCTGGTTTTACAGATTCCGGCTTTTCTCGTTCTTGGTATTACAGATTCTGGCTTTTCCCATTCCTGGTTTTACCGTTTCCCGTTCTTTTCTCCATTCCTTTCCCCGATTCCCCGTTCCTTGTTTTACAGATAGCCCATACGAGGCTGATAAAATATGTTAGTCGCAATCTCATATTTTCACCTTTGTGCCTAATTAAAGCAGTGCATAACAAAAGAAAAAAACAATTAACGTTCTAACGGATCCTAAGGCTCACATCAGTACGATAGCACACCAGCTCTTACACTATATTTTTGCCCGCTGCCGATCGGTAGGGATGGAGACGGTATCCGAGCGAAACGGTCGGGCTAGGGGTGAAACGGTGTTTCTTTTGAGTTTGCTGTTTTCGGCGCAGATAATAACTCAACGAACCATGCTATTTTAACGGTACCTCCTCCAAATATGTCTCCAAGCCAGATGAGGGGTTGGAGTTAGGTTACCGTTAACCTTCTCCACCAGTCTCCAACCCTACAGCAGCGGGGCAACGTTGAAAAATGACTGCAGCGATGTGCAAACGTAGCGAAGGTAAGCTTGGCTAGTCCAACGTCCAAGAGCTTGAATTAGATGATCCGGAATCCCAGCCGCAGCGGCGGAAGTAGCAGCCCCAATGCGAAAGCTGTGAGATGAGTAGTTCCCCAATTACGCCGGCTCGCCTCAAGATTTTGCGAAGGAAAAAATTGACTTGTTGAGCAGTTAAGGGGAAGCCATCCGACCACAGGAATAAAGGACCAGGGCCGCTGCCACGCATATCGAGGTACGCCTGAAGCGCGAAGACAGGGCAGAGACGATTGCTTGAAGACCCGATGTACAGGACCTGTCCGACGCCAAGAGGATCAGTCTTAGAAAGCCAGAAAGCACGCAGACCAAAACATAACTGCATCGTAGACGCCAAGATCACCAACCGTCGACGAATGAATAACATCCAATAGATCGCGGGTTATGGGGCAGCGTTATTAAAACTATTATTATTAAAACTTTATTTCATGAGGGGTTCACATTGTTACCTTAAGGTATTCTTCCCAATGGCGTAACGAGGAAATGCCAGACCGATAACGACGGATGCCCTGAAGCAGACGACGAAACCGTGGTTTCTCTTTCGTGGGATCCGGGAAGCCAAGGTCAATATGATAGGAACCGACAGCAGCTAGGTAAACATTAAAGGAAAAAACTCCGTATTGAGCCGAATAGGGTGGGTAGGTGAACGAAAAGCGCAGAGCAAATTAATCATACGCTGGAGGAACGTGCGACCGGGCGGAACAACTTTCGTAACGTGGTGAAGCGAGCCGATAAAGGATTCTAACTCTCGACGAGTGCACCAAGACTTACGATTCCATTTTTTAAGAAGCTCTACGATGGCCACAAATTTTAGCGGATGGCAACCGAGCAGACTGGGTGAGAGAATTTAGTTCCACACCTAAAAAGACTAACGTAGTAGTAGGACCCTCGCACTTTGACGGATGGAGAGGCAAACCCAAACGGAGGAATAAGGACCTGGCGATGGCTACATTATTAGCGCACTCGGTGGAGTTGCCGGGGCCAAGGGTCAGGAAATCGTCGAGGTAGTGAAGGAGAAAACGAACGCGATAATTAGCTTTAAGAATCCATTCCACCATTTCGGCGACGGAGTTGAAGATAAATGAGGCGGAACGCAGACCAAACGGAAGAGCCAAATCGACGAAATACGACTCAGGCCACCACATGCCAAATAAGAAACGTTCGTCAGGTCTGAGAGCGATGTTACGGTACGCACATTCTACGTCAAATTTGGCCATAAGAGCACCCGGACCAAGCTGTACAAACGAGCAATGGCATGATCGACGGAGATGTAAGTCAACGAGAAAGGATCCTTGGGGATGCCGTCATTAACGCTATGGCCTTCGGGTGACGACAAATCCTGAATGAGACGCCGTTTACCAGGCTGGCCTTTCTTTGGAATGACCCAAAACGGGCTGCACTGTAGATTAGGAAACGGTGGCGAGGCAAAAGGACCCACGACACGACCATGCGAAATTTCATTTGCCAAATATTTGTCGATAACATCGGGATGTTGCAAGGCCGATTTCATGTTTCGGTGCGATGGTCGTAAAGAGACTAGTGAAGGATCAAAACCCGACGGAAAGCCGTGAGCTATACCATCCAACACGTAGCGAACCATAGCTTGATTGGGATGGTTGATTAATTCCCGATGAAACTCGACGTATTGAAGCGGCGAAACGCGGGAGACCAACGGAAACAGGATGCGGGACTCCGGCAACGGTGGATCTACAGCACGAACGAAAGCACCTACAACGGAGCAGAAAAATAGCAAGAACAGCGAGCGGAAACGAACGGAGCGACCGGTGCGAACGGTACGAACGGTGCGACCAGTGCGATCGGTACGAACGGTGCGACCAGTGCGATCGGTGCGAACGGTACGAACGGAGCGACCAGTGCGAACGGTACGAACGGTGCGACCAATGCGATCGGTACGAACGGTGCGACCAGTGCGATCGGTGCGAACGGTACGAACGGAGCGACCAGTGCGAACGGTACGAACGGTGCGACCAGTGCGATCGGTGCGACCGGTACGAACGGTACGAACGGTGCGAACGGTGCGATCGGTGCGACAGTGCGATCGGTACGAACGGTGCGACCAGTGCGATCGGTGCGAACGGTACGAACGGAGCGACCAGTGCGAACGGTACGAACGGTGCGACCAGTGCGATCGGTGCGAACGGTGCGAACGGTACGAACAGTGCGCAACTAAATCACAAGTGAAGCTAGATAACTATTTTATTCAGCAAATTCATAACCGAACACGAATTACAAACAAGAAAAAAAAACTAAAATAGCGCACAGAACAATGTTAACGTCCGGAACAACGGGAACAAACGAACCGACCACGACGTATTAACTAACGACGCGAGGTGTCTGATGATAGACGCTACTTCGCGGGTTGCGAGCGAGATGGTGAACGAGGACAACGTGTAGACTGGTGGGCCACGCTACGACGATGGATTGCAGGACAACCCGGAAAATCACAGGCATGACGGAACCGACACCGGAGGAATTGCGATGAGCACCGACCAGCGTTCCAAGAGTGACAAATAATGGACGACGACGGGGTACCGGACGCTTCAAGGGAGCTGGAGGACGAGGAAAACGAAGTAGATACCCGCGAAGCAGGAGTAGAAGAAAACTCCCGGCGCCGAATATATGAAAATTATACAGCTCCGGGTGGAGTTGTAACCAATCGGTGAGGCGGAGAGCAGCTGCATGGCGACGAAAAGCGCGATCGTACGCGATCCACCCCGAGCCAAGATGCTTCTGAGCGGAACGCAAAATAAGTAGCTGGTAGCGAAGCAAATCCGGGGAGCGAGACGGCCAAAAATTCGTCATCACGAGGATATAAACAGAAAAGGCTGGGAGCCAAGTCATAATATCTGTAATTTCCTTAGGGCGCTTTGACGGTCGCAAAACTAATTCGTTATCCCCGATGGTAAACGAAGGAGCGTCATGAACTGAAGTTTCTTCGATAAGAGAGGCCAACTCGACCAACTTGCCGTTGAAAATTGATGCCATAAGCTTTGGGGATACCGGAGGAAACAAGGCCCGACCACGAAGGGAGAAAAAGCCGATACGGTAAGCGTAGAGAAGCGAGGGGGCGAGGCAGTACCACCAGAGGCTAAAAAACACCCGGCGAAACAAACCCCATCCCGGGGCCCGGGGACGTAGACGAAGAAAACAAATATGGCGTACCTGAAGGGACAGGATTTTGAATCCGATACAACGGCTGCTGCAGCGTCTGTTGAGGCGGTTGCCAATGTCCAGCTACGGCACGATCTTGTTGTTGGGTAACCATAGGCGTCGCTGATTGAAGTAACACGGGTTGTGGTGGCTGCTGAGCGAAAAATGGTGTCAAACTTGGATGACTCGATGGCCAAGTAGAAGCAACACTGACGATTTGTTGATTTGCAATAGCCGGCGATGGAACACGAGTTGGGAATAACGGTGAAGCAATATGCTGATGTAAACTTGGCTGAAATTTCCGAGATGGCGACGAGCGAACGGCAAGGGGAGCCGTAGCGATCAACTGCGATGCCACTGTTGAAGTTGTAACAGCAGACACGACTGGTGAGCTAGTTGGCGTTACACTCAAAGCAACTCCTTGAAGAGACATATTTTCCTGAGCCATTATAGCGAAATAATTTTGTTGGACAAGGTTGTGACGGCATCGATTCACGCAAGCAACTAACAACTCGATCAGGCAAACTGGGCTCATATTTGTACTCACCGGAGGGGGCAAGTAGCCGACCGGACAAGCGTCCTAGGACCCGCGACACTACGATACGAAGACCCGTATAACATTAACTTCCTTTATTATTTAATAATAAATACATTTAATCACGAACATGTCACGGCTTGCTCTGGTTTTATGCCGAATTGCTTAGAATGTTCTCCTGATGTGATTTATTCCAACTTTATATGCATATGCGGGTTGTTTATTGAAAAGCAAAATTCTTCAATTAAGTCCGAAAGAGAGTTAATTTTCAATGGTTTTAGTCCCAACTCTCAGAGGTAAAAATATGCGATTTTGACTAACACTTTTTATCAGCCTCCTATTTGCTCACTTTTTCACCATTTAATATCAAAAACATGTCATTCGATATTTAAAAGCCTTCGGAATGTGAAAAAAATTCGTTAATAGAATGATTAGTTCACGTACAATAGCGCACCAGAGTTGAATTACCTTTTTTTATACACTCTGTATAGTCACCTGTTGTGATGGCGTTTTTAGACACATTACAGTCACCGAATATCCCTGGCTTTATCTGAAACTGTGTTTTTCCAGCAGTCATCGCATACTCTTCCAAAGGGAAGAACGAGACTAAGGGGGAGCGTAAAACCCCTGCCTCCCTCCAAAAATTGAATAATATGGAATGCCCTACCACACCTTTTTTGACGTCAGACTATATATAAGACTATATAATTTTATTATATACACAAGCGCCAGATATGAGGTATGCTGCAATTTCATTGGTTGGCTACTAGACAGATATTAGCTCATATCTGTCTAGTAGAGAAAGTAAACAAAATGGCGGAAAGACTTGGGGAGTTGAGTGAAATAGAAATCCAAGTTTTAGTTGATAATAGCACATATCAGCACATATACGACTGGAGTTCGCAGAATAACTGTTAAATATACGTCCTTTGTAAAGGTCTATTCACACAATACGACTAGTAGTGGTTTTATTAACGAGTAACCTACAGTGCGATGCGAAATATGTGTCTATCGAGGATCTTACAATAAAGTATTATCACAGAAGACACGGTTATGCCGCCATTGGTGATTTGAATTATAAATGTAGCTATTTCTAGTGCGTGTGAAAAGTTATATAGTTTAAGATTTGTGACAGCAATGCATGAGGTTCTATACATGCTAAGCAACATATGACTCTTTACAGTAACCTGAAAACACGAAAAGGGACTGAAAATAGTCGCTAAATAATTGACAACAACAACTTACAACGCATGTATTCCAGTATGGTAGAAATAGAAAGCGACCACGTTGCTATATAAAATTATCTGTAAAACGTATTCCGTTAAATTTACCACGGACGCCAATATTTGCCAATAGGGAAGTAAGGGAACTATCACTGAACATACTAACAACGTTACAAATTGTCAGAGAAAGAGAAATCATTCCAAAAAGATAAATGTCTTACTCGGCGTCAGATCAGCTGTTAAAACTAATAATAAGGTAGCCTATTTTGTATGGTTTATAAATGCTTATATTAAACTAGTACTTGAGTCTCTCTGATATTTGATTCGTCACCTCCATTGTTTCTTACACCAGTTTGGCGTGGTTTCTCTTGTTGCTTCAAATGTGTTATTAATTGAGTTTTGCGTAATTCTGGTTTGCCAGCTGTAAATTCGTCCGCTAATATTTTCACTCGTTGTTTCAACTGTTGTTTCCACGCATCTTTCTGATCTTCTCCTTTTTTCGCCGCAACAATATTCATAATGTAAGGAAAAGCAATCACGCTGAACGTTGTGAGCAACTGGACTGTTGGGGAAACATCGGTGGCTTGAAGAACTCGAACAAGAGTGAGAATAGGATAAGCGGAAAGAAAAGTGATGAAAACTTTTAACGCATAGTAAAAAAGGCTCACATGATATGGCAGGAGGCATTCTCTAATGACATCGTAAAGTTCCTCTGATACCACGCACACAATCTTGCGATTTTCATTGCTGCTTCTTTCGTTTGCCTTGTTGCCTGTGTTATTGCACTTGTTCCCTGTACCTGTGTCACTCTTTTCTATATTATTGCCACTGTCCCCTCTCTTTTTGCCATTTTTGCTTCTGTTTTTGCCATTCCTGCCTGTCTTTTTGCCACTTTTGCCAGTGCCATTCTTACTTTTTTCATTGCCATTGTTTTCTTTGTTGTTGTCATTCTTACATGTCTTTTTGCCATTGTTTTTTCTATCGCTTTCTCTGTTATTTCCATTGTAATTTTTGAGGTTGTTATTGTTACCTCCCCTTTCACTATGCTCGTCGCATTGGTTCTCGTTGTAATCCTTGTTGCAATCATAGATCAGCCTCATCAAGACGACATATTGTTGTTCAACAGAAGTCCAAAACATCCAGGAGTAAAATGTCAGAATTGATGTATAAACAATGTAAGGGAAAAAGTAAACAATATTAAGGATTATTCCCGAGAGCAGCGGCATTAAAACATCAGGTATAGAAAGAACACAAATTTCCAATAAATACGAAGTAAAAAGAGTGCACAGGCAATAAATTGAAAACCATTTATTCGCCTTGATATTGAACATGCTAGATAAAAGAAAAAAAAGAGGATTGAAAATCAATATCACCATCGACATAATCTGCAATAGAATAACCAACGGAATGTAGACTAAGCATAATAAGCCAGTTTTTCCATATGTCACAACTTTAAGAGATAAAGAAACTTCTGATGCGGAGCAAACAGACTTACCAAAAAAAGTATTCATTGATTTTTTCCAGCGTTTGATGTTGAAGGGCAAGGTGAATACAGAGATGGCTGTGGAAGCACTTTCTTCGGGACACAAATAGACATTATTTATATCATATTCAAGATAGTGAAAGAGTTCTAAAAAACTTGCTAGAGGGTCAGTTTTGTGAAGTTTAGGGAAATCATTAGCATTAAAGAAGAACAATGGAAGAACAAGGAAGAACAATGCCCAAAGCGAAAAAGAAAGTACAAAGGGAACTGAATCAAACCGGTTTAGTTGCCAGAAAGTGAATAATAGCACGGCTACAAAAAGGCATCTCCGTACTAATGATTCGATTCTTCCATCACCATCCCAAAGTAACATGCGCAGAACAGATAGTATTGACATCGGACTTTCTGTTAAATTCTTAAAACCACTCGTTCTATTTGCCTTTTTCCACAAAAATGTTTCGCTCAAATATATCAGTATTGCATTACCACCAACATACAAAACGTATCTGTACACCAATAACATCGCTTGAATTGTGTTCAAAAATTCAGATTTAGCTGACCTCACATAACAATGATATTTCAGAGGAACATTGCTGACACCCTTACAGCATCTCTTTTGCGAGAGTTGGCTGGAAGTGTTGTCGAAACAGATTTCTTTCTCATGAAAAATAGACAGATTCTTCAAAAGAGCTTCAGCAATAAAATCTCCTGGTGATTCTTTACATGCCGCACAACCTAAAGGATTGTCTTTTACACGTAATCGCCTTGTTTTTCTCCCAATATTGAGACTCCAAGGGATAACTTTTATATCTAATTTCATTGTGAGCATAGCCAAAATTTCATGACCAACACTGTCTGTCCACATCCAGTTTAATTCATTTGTAGTAGAGTTGGGATCGTTTCGGGCAAATTGGAGATCAAGTTCTACAATATGAATATTTTTTTTTCGCCCTAGCTGCAGCAAAAACAACAAATCTGTTTCGTTGACGATCAAAATACAGTTCCTCTTCGTTTGACTTCAAACGGCTGTTTCAATAGAGAAAGTGTCATTTTGCAATCGATTGGTAATATGTGGTCCGTCATTATTTGCTGTTACCCAGGATATCATATCAAGGACAATGAGGACATATTGCAAGGATGTAATCATTTCAAGTTGATAAGTACTTCTTGTAGCAAGTGACAGCTTTCGTTTAAATCTATTAGTTTAAAATTTGAAAACATATATGGATGGCAATTATGGATGGCGTAATTGGTAATATTTCTATAAAAAGTTTATATAGGTATTGTTTATCGGCAACGGGGTCTCCGCCAATATATCATGGGCCTGCCCTCGTAGAGAGCTTTAGATTTAACTACGGCTCCCGCTACGAGATTCATCACATTGACGTGGTATATATTCGTGATACTTTGTACTGACGCCAGAGACTCGTAGCCGTCGTTCATCTGACTACGACATTTTAAGAAAACTTCGTAGTCCTTAGTCCTTACTATACGTGATTTAAAAAGCAATAAAAGTTGACATTTTCTCGTTTTTTTCCAGAGAATAATTTGAGAAAACTGTTTTTCATGACCGTGGCCTTTGATTATGTGTATTTTACGAAATAGTGGGCGTAAAATTGCCGAAATATTTGACAGGATAAACATGCATATATTATTGTGCTTGCAGTGGTTTATCATGCCAGCACGAAGTGGCGTATGCATACAACGTTTGTTTCGCGCCATAGTGACAAATCTCGTAGCCGTTGCCATAATCTAAAGCTCTCTATAGGAAAAAAAGAAGACAACAAAGTGAAAGAAAGCTTAATACCGCGTCCCCCGACGTATTGTATTCCTATTCCGCAAATGCGGGTTATAACCTATTTTTAGAGGAATAATTTCGCTCAGTGTTTAAATCTTTCCCACTGATTTTAGAACTTTGGCTATACCGGGTAGTATTATACATTTACTTAATGGTTTCCGTGTTTGGATGGCCTGATCCAAACACGCGGGAATGTTGCGAGAGTTAAGAAAAGCGCGCGAAACACGAGCCGAAGGCGAGTGTTTTGCGAGCTTTTCTTAACTCGAGCAACATTCCCAAGTGTTTGGATCAGATCATCCAAACACGGAAACCATTAAGTAATTGTTTTATAAAATAACAAAACATAATAAATTTGTTTTTAAATTCCCGCGAAATTTCCGTGTTTGCATGGATGGCCTGATCCAAACACGGGCTTCAACCAATCAGAACAGGCGTTATATACATGTTATTTTATAATATTATTTAATATGCCGAGCCATTCCTAGGCGACTTTGCGTCTGCTGCTTTAGTCGCCAGCTGTATGTGTTTAGCGTTTGAAATATATGCTTAAATACGCTTATACGACACCGCAGAAACTGGTGCTTATATGAAATTTCAACCCGAAAATCTAATCACTGATTCACAATTGTAGATTTCCGTATCGCTATCAAAGAGCGTACTATTGAATAAGTTGAAAAGTTCAATTTTTCACATTATGCATTCTCTTACGGCTCAAGACACACATCTGTAAAATAGCCATTTTGAGGCTTAACGTGTATACAAGTTCTTTAATTCAGACCATTTGTTTTTACCATGTGCAAGCTTTAAATCGTTTGTGCAAGTTTGTTTTTTTGTTGAGCATTTTTAAATCATAAAATTGGAAGTATATAGCATTAAAAATAGGGCTAAGTCTTAGGATGTAATTCCTGCGGTGTCAATACTAACAGACTGCATCGTAGAATGGAGTAGTTATGGAGTATAAGCCAATCACCTAGCAAAAAGCCATTTATGAATCAATCACAAAATCATTATCAACGTTTCGACTTTAATATCTTCATCAAGTAAACTCAATATAACAAGCTTATACTTATATACATCTTCCATGTTATTCATCCTTTTCAATGTTCAACCCAAAGGGGTACATTGTCTTAAATCTATTAATGTCGAAACGTTGACAATGATTTTATGATTTACTTATAATATATATATATATAGTATTGCTTACCAAAAATCGTCTACTACAGTCTATTTCATCCGCGTAGAGGAGGACCTTCAGGTGGTAGACACATAACGAAAAAATGCCGTTTAAGTAGTTTTGGTTGAAACGTGGGTGGGTACGTGGGCCTTTAAACAATTAATGCATCACCTAAGATTTTTTTTCGTATGTCGTTATCGACGTGAAACATTCTTTTGTGATCACATATGGAGACTAACAAAAAGGCCTTAACCGATGTTAATCACTTCACCAGCAGGAAACGATTTATCGTCTTTGTTGTTTTTCCCCGATAACCGAAACACATTTATTTCCACTTAAGAGTAACTTCAGCCTCCCCAGTTCTCGTATAGAATTCAGTAATATATGTTCTCATATGTCACTGACAGTCGGCGACGTATAGTGCGAAAATCTATTCAATTATGATCACCCACAATAGCCATCGCCTACCGTCGGTGACATATGAGAATCAGATTTTACGAGCTCTAGGACGGCAGCGACAACGGCAAACCCGTAAATATTTGTGTTGTTCTATTTGAGCCGAACGATTACTCGTTGATGTATACTTAAGTTTCCATTCATAGTTTGTTCTTTCTCTTAAACAGCCCTCAAGAAGGAAATGTTTAGCGAAATCATTTGCATCAGATATTGTTTGGAGCTAGCGCTGTTCAGTGCTGGTCGCATTCAGCGTGAAAATCTTGATTCAAACCCGTTGAGCTTTTAGCAACTACGGCATTGCACAAGCCCTAATTAAAATGATGAAATCCTCATTTTCCTTTTGCGTGGTAATTACCGCGGGAAGGTGGGAAGCACAGGGGTCGTTGACCGTGGCGCGAAAATGAAATTTATAGAATTTATAGAGTGAATATTATACACTTAATGTACGCTACCGCGATGGGAAACAAAACTTACTATCTCCCGAGGGAGCGCGTACATTAAGTGCTTTGATATACAGGGTGTATCAGAAAAAAGTTTACACTTGGGGAATGGTAGGGGCATCGTTAGGGAAATCTTTGGGTATGTGCAGGTAGCTTGCATGAGAATGAGACGTGTAATCAGAAGTGTAACTAGATATTCTTGTATCCTCAAACTCGCCGTGTGATTTTACTTATGTTTCGGTGTTTGCGGAGTTAAAAATTCATTTAAAAATCAATTTATTAATTTCTGACAATTAAAAGCCAACAGGCAGGAAGTTTTTGGCGCTGAGATGGACACGCATCTGTCCATCTTTCTTTCATCTATGGTTTGGCGCATAAAAGCGGCGGTTATCTACCCAGTGAAGTAAAATGAACGCTCACTCTGTCGGAAGTTTGAAGCAAAGATGGCGGGCACTGAAGCCTTTCTTGTAGGTATGATCCAGGCCTCCGCGCGGAAATTTCGTAGGTAAAATGTCGGCAATTATGATTTTTCCTTTGAAATTTCCGCGCCAGAGGCCTGGGTTATACCTACAAGAAAGGCTTCATGATCCGCCTGCTTGGCTTCACTCATTAATGAGGGAAAGTCAGAGAGTAAGCGTTCCAGTCCTATTTGAGTTCACTGTTCCCACCATAAAGTGCCACTTTTGCATTGATGCGTTCATGCATTTCCAAGTTCACAAATTTCAGTCTTAAATTCCGTTTTACTTCATTTCACAGATGAAAACTGGTTAAAACAAGCGCTGAACCCAATGAATATATTTTCAAATCGTAAAGGAAAAGCTGCAGAAACATTTAACATCCTCCGTGGACTAAAATTTAAACGATCAGAAGGTAGAATGCTGGGGGTTTAATTTCATTTTGAAAACACATTTACATTTATATAACATGATGCAAGTATTTACAGCATCTTGCCATTGTAAGCGCCACGATTTTCGGGGCTGACTGAATAGGCCATCAAATCTTCTCAAACTCATTAATAATTCATGAGCAAATACACCAATCGCAAACACACATTTCATCACGTGCATGAGTTGTGAAACCCCGGTAATAAACCAAAAATTGAATTAATAATTAAAAACTTAGATAATAAACGCTTACACAGAAAAAAAGAGTGCATTACAACATTTCTTAATTATAACTAGGGATCCAAGGATAGTGCAAAGTTTTCATGCCCTGTAATACCTAAGCAACACGTTTTCCCAACATAAACATTTTGACTTATGCCAGTAAAAATATAATGAACTAGGTTAAACATTAATCAAAAGGAAATTACTCAAAGTACTCAAGTTACGTTAGTCGCAAATACTGTCACTATTAAATTATAATTTAATTTATATGATGGCAACAATTTATCCGTCATTTCAAAAGAATAGCCAAAATAGTTGCGTTGTAAATAATGTAAATAAACCGCGGTGCATATTATGTCTATGATGTGGATACTTCGACGCGTAAATCGATACAAAACAATATACTTATAATCAATACTGTATACCGCCAAAATGATTTGATTACTGCACAAAATGCCCGTTTTGTATAGTATCATTTATGTACTGTATGCAGAATACCAGGTATCGACTTGCTATCCACATAATATATATTCGTCATTCGTGTAAGAGATTAGAGATCTATCAATACATAAACAACACAGCGTCGTTTCTTCCTAACCTCTTATGTAGCTCTATTTATGGAATAAACCTTCCAAATTATATTTGTGTCGAATTGAATGCTCGTAATTCATAACATAAGTTCATAAATCGCGTAGATTCTCAAAGAATTGCACGATTTTTACGCCCGGAATGTTTTGAAGCAATGCTCGTCGCTCCTCGTTTCTTTACATCGTGTGTTGAAGGCTCGACGGCACATGCGCAGTTGCGACGTATAGGAAAAAAATCGGGTGTTCCGGGGGCAAATCTGCGCAAATCCCTTTGAAACAAAACCCAAACCGCGGAAAAGCAATGCTTCAAAATTTACAATAACGGTCAAAATCCCTCAATATTTTGGTGAACTTAGCAAAAGGGATGTAGAGAATTAATAAATAAAGCAAGTTAAACTGATTTAAAAACTTTAAATTACTGATCATATACAAAAAGGTACTATACGCATAAATCAATCTACCCCCCGTAAAGTTTACACTATGACTGACTGTCTGACTGACTGACTGACTGACTGTCTGACTGACTTACTGACTCGTTTGAATTTTCGCCACTCATCACAATACTGCAAAGTTTCTCAAACTTTGCACTAAAAACAGCCAGAACAATGAAAGCTGTATTATTACCACAATTCTTAATTAACTATGCAAAAGTCAACACGGAAAATGCTTACAAATTTTAATAACGCAAAATTACACACACACACATTGCACTTTTTTCACAACAAACTTCACATCGCAGTTTACAAAATATGGCGTTTGGAAACTAACAGCATTTTTAGCGGCACTTTCTTCGTTAACAGAAGTTAAACTAACATTTCGCCTGAGAAGTTATTTCATAAACTCGTGACTCGTGTTTTACTGGGGTTTCCAAACACGTGAGAATAATTGAATTCACAAGACTGTTCACCAAGCGATTTTTATTGTTCTCTCGAGTATGTAAAACACTCAAGACAATAAAAACTACTCGGCCGTACCGGCCTCGTGTTTTCATTGCCTTTCGTGTTTTACAAACTCTCGAGAACAATAAAAATCGCTTGGTGAACAGTCTTGTGAATTCAATTATTCTCACGTGTTTGGAAACCCCAGTAAAACACTCGCACTCGTTTATGAAATATTACATACACAATTGAATTTTTCGTTCTACATCAGCTCTCTTTCTTATCAGACGCAGACTTTGACGATGCTCCCGGTAAAGATAAGACGATGTGCATTGTGGACAGCGGTATTGCATTCAATTCGCCGTATCCAGCAATGTTGCGACCAGAAAGAAATGTCGAACTCGTCTTGTCTTTCGAATTCAGTAAACGCGATAGAGACGAGCCTCCGTTCAAGGTGAGTATAAGAAGCTGAGTTCTTAAAATTATAGCAAATATTACCAAAATAAAATATATTAAAGAAAAAATATGAAGTAATATAGCTCAACACATTGTGTCAAAGCCATTTACATTCTGTCTCAATTTAACATATGACCGGTCTGACCATTTTGGCCGCTTAATGGAAAGCGCCCTAGGACTGGTTGTCAAATGAGACTGCTTAAACGATATTTTATAATTTTGCAACAGACTTAATGTCTTTCATCATTGAGCGAACTTCATGCAAAGATTAAACTAGCTTTACAAAGACATTTGGTATTGAACGAACTTGTGGATAAATAACCCCCATATTAGTCTTTATAAAGTAGGAGATTCCACAGGGGAGGTGTGCCCTCCGTACCTGACTGTCATTGAAATATGGATACACGATAACTTTCGGTACCGAAGATCGTGACTGAATGATGGTGTATTTTTCTCCGAATTAGGAACTGTTGAAAGCCGAAGCATGGGCGGAAAAACGTGGTCTTCCATTTCCACAAATCAAAGGGAACCCAGTCACGGAGGATCCTGAGATTCGCGAATGCTGTCTTTGAAAACAAAGATGACGTCAGATGTCCAACCATCCTGCATTTTCCACTTGTGAACAAGACATTCAGAAACTATCTTTTCAAAAACCAGGTATCAATAATATTAACTCAACGAAGATTCGAGCAAAGTCTCTTAGTTACTGGTAAAGACTAATGTTGGGCTCAAAAGTTTGCCATTTTGCCATGCTAGCTTCAAGCAAGGATCATTTTCTCTACTACAGCGAGCAAGCTTTATTTACTACCCATAAAGTTTGATGTTTAAAAGTGCGCCACCACCATACCTTGTTATAGAGTGAGTGGATTTTGCCCCTTTAAGTAAGTTTATCCCTGGATGTCTTGTAAATGTCATAAATTTCAAGTTGGGTGAATTTAAAATCGAGACACACTGATTTAAGTGCACAAGATAATCGTGGACTATAGTTGTTTGCTTTATGCTTGAAAGCAAATATGTGTGATTAAAAATTAATGCCAACTAATTTCAAATTTCATGAGACCAATGCGATGCCTTACAAAATCAATTCTTTATAAGAATTTAAATAAAACAAAGCCTTGGGATAAAGTGTTAAAAAACAGAATCGGTCGATCAAAGTAGAGCGAAAGAGATCAGCAGACTGGAGATCTTATAGAGATTTAAAGAATCCGATAATTTACCTCTTGACAAGGCATTTATATTTCTAGAAAAAAATTCCAAGAGTCACAAAGATTCCGCTGAAGCGAATGTTCAAACATTTTTATGACAATAATGAAAGAATGCAACACCACTTTCGAATATCAAGTTTTTACATTTAATTTTTCAGGGGTTAAACGTGTGACGATGGAGGATCGAGACTTCGCCAACTTCGATATCTTTGATGACGCTGACAAACCCTATTCAACCTTCGAGTTTCAGTACAAGAAACGAACATTTGATCGACTGAAGGAAATGATGAAATTCAACACGTTGTTGAATATGGATCTCATCAAGGAAAAGATTGCATACCAAGTTGCGTTGAGAAAAAACAATCCTCATTTGCTCATTTGAACATTGGCTATCTTTAAAACCAGGAACGGGGAATCAAGGAAGGGAACGGGGAAGGGAACGGGGAATGATAAAACCAGGAATGGGAAAAGCCGAAATCTTTAAAACAAGGAATGAGAAAAGCCGGAATCTTTAAAACCAGGAATGAGAAAAGCCGGAATCTTTAAAACCAGGAATGGGAAAAGCCGGAATCTTTAAAACCAGGAATGAGAAAAGTCGGAATCTTTAAAACCAGGAATGAGAAAAGCCGGAATCTTTAAAACAAGGAATGAGAAAAGCCGGAATCTTTAAAACCAGGAATGAGAAAAGCCGGAATCTTTAAAACCAGGAATGAGAAAAGCCGGAATCTTAAAAACCAGGAATGAGAAAATCCGGAATCTTTAAAACCAGGAATGAGAAAAGCCGGAATCTTTAAAACCAGGAATGAGAAAGTAAAGTAAAAAGCAAATTCCGAACAAACAAGACATCTTGAGAATCAAAATATAATTCAAACAAGACACAGATTGAGACTGTAAATTTTCGACTTTATTAAAGGGAAACTGTTGTTATATGCACAAAAGGGGTCGTTTAACACTGGAATGCTGGGTTTTATAGTATTATATTCATTCTTGTGATTAAATGCAAACTTCCACCCTGGCATGGCGGGCTGGCCTGGTTGCATGTAATCGAAACGTTAAAATTGGCTATAATTACCATAGGAAACGGGCCAATGCAGCCCAGTAAGACGCGCTACCCCGATCCATGTAATCGGCCCCTTAGTACCGGCTTTATACAAGGCTGTATTCATATACTAGTTTGCTTTAAACCAGAAATTAAAATTGATAGGCGCATGATTCCCCAAGTGAACACATCCATACAATTACACTGCTCATTAAACACTGTTCAAGTAAAATCACCAATGTGTATACAAAATGCCGTCCCGAAGCTGAATCCGACAGCAATGCAAACCCATTGTGCGTGCAACCACACTACACTGAATACCCACGTATTCAGTGTAGTGTGGTTGTAGCACACTACACTGAAAAATTAGAGTAGTTTTAGCACGCGCACTATGGTGTAAAGACGCTAAAAAATAGTGCTCCGTGACATTTGAAATTTATACACAATTACTGCTAAATTTTTAGAAACATTATTACGTTATTACTTAAGTAGGGATATCTTTAAAACAACGTTGGTGTTATTTTTTGTTAACTTGGTGTTTTCGCGCATTTTGTGACTTTATCAAGATTTGGACATCGAACATTGGTCATTGGAGTGGTTACGCGTTCATTGCTTTTAGCGTGAATAATTTCCAGTGCTACTTCAACTGTGAATTCTGTGAGTGCGAATTGGTTATATTATATATATTTTTGGAATTTTTACGCAAATATTTTGCTATTTCTCGAGTTTGGACCGTTAAATTATATTTGCGAACGTTATTCCGTTAACCGCGTGCTACGTGATTTGGTAAATTGGTTTGTGACGACGCACGCTAATTAGAAACTATGCCGCAAGAAAGCAAAGACGGAGGGCGCGCATTTCAATGTAATTTGTGCCCGAGACAATTTGGTTCGGAACGAGGACGGTCGCTACATTTAAATTCATGCAGGAAAAAACACGCAACTGGTGGAGCGCGTCAACAAGATGGACAAACATCAAGTATGCCTGGTTCTATTGTTGTCGATCCGGTTACTCCCTCAAGTTCTCAAAATAGCGGATCACCAGGTGTTTGGGGCAGCCTCACTAAAGACGATCTAAAGCAAGTTGTTAACGCAGCCTATGAAGAGGTGGTTTTTTGGCGCAAAAATCTGTTTATGTTGCCGAGTGGAGCTGCTGGAAAGTCATACGTCAGGGAACTGGAGAGACTTGTTAACGCTTGGAACAGTAACTCGGAGATCTTGCATGATATTTCTTTAAAACTTACTATGATCATGCCTGCTCTTCTCTTACAAAAACCGAGTTTCAAATCGAGATCGAAAGACCATGTGACTTGTCTGTCTCGGCGCATGGCTTTGTGGCAACAAGGTAACTTTGATGGGTTACTTCGGGAATGCAGAACCATCCAGTCGACACTACTGGCTACTAGAAAGGTTTCGAATGAACAGCTTTCCAAGACCTTCGCTAGTCTCATGTTTCGTGGCAAAGTGAACGCAGCTCTACGTTTGTTGGATGAACAATCATGTGGTGGAGTTCTTCCTCTTAATGACGCTGTGTACAAGGACCTCTTGCAGAAACATCCACCTGCACAACCTGAGGATCATTCCGTCATGATTGATGGTGAAATTCCATATGTCGATCCATCGTTATTCGCCAACATCGACGAGGCAGCCATAGCAAAAGCAGCATTGAGGACTCAAGGTGCTGCTGGTCCTTCAGGTCTTGACGCACTTGGATGGCGGCATATTTTGGTGTCTCGCAACTATGGAGATGCTGGCAAAGATCTACGATCCGCAATAGCGTTAATGGCGAGAACACTTGCAACCCAGAAGGTCGTTATTGGAGCAGATCAGACCACCAGCTTAGAGACCTTCTTAGCGTGTCGCTTAATACCTCTGGACAAGAACCCTGGTGTCAGACCGATTGGGATTGGAGAGGTTCTACGACGGATAATTGGAAAATCAATTGTCTTTGCCATTAAACCACAAATCATGGATAGCGCAGGAGACTTGCAGCTATGTGCAGGACAACAATCAGGCTGCGAGGCTGCTGTTCACGCCATGTCGAAGATTTTTGAAGAAGAAGAAACAGACGCTGTCTTACTGGTAGACGCCACCAATGCGTTCAATTCCATCAACCGCAAGATCATGTTACATAACATTCAGTACATTTGTCCTGCAATGGCTGTTTATACGTTCAATTGTTATGTAACAGCTTCAAGATTGTTCGTGCAAGGTGGTAAAGAAATTGCATCAGCTGAAGGTACCACGCAAGGTGATCCGTTAGCCATGCCGTTATACGCCGTCGCCATTACTCCACTCCTGCTCATGATTAAATCTGGTGAAGCTAGTGATGTAAGGCATGTTGCGTACGCGGATGACCTTAGTGGGGCAGGTAAGCTAATGCAACTGCGTGCCTGGTGGGAGAAGATTGCCGTGCATGGTCCGAGTCTTGGTTACTACCCGCGAGCTGATAAATCCTGGTTGATTGTGAAGCCACACCTGGAGCAGACTGCCATTGAGATCTTCGCTGGAACTAATGTACGAATTTCAAGTGAAGGGCATAAGTACCTTGGAGGATATCTTGGATCGGATGACGGAAAAGATAAGTATATTAGTTCTTTAGTTAGTAAATGGTGCCAGCAACTTCACGTTTTGAGTGAAATTGCCAAATTCCAACCCCAAGCAGCATACACGGCGTTTGTCTCGGGTTTTCGGCACAGATTTACTTACCACATTCGTGCCGTTCCAGGTATCAAGACCGCGATGCAGCTTGTTGACGACACCATCAACCTGAAGCTCCTTCCTGCACTCCTCGATAACCGTAGCTTGTCCATCCATGAGCGACAATTGGTTTCGCTTCCAGCTCGTATGGGAGGTCTTGGTATTCCGATCTTTAACGACATCTGTGATGAAGAATTTGAACTCCACAACCATCTGTCATCTTCTCTCAAGTAGAATCATCCACCAGAATGGTACACCATCAGCAGAACATGGAGATTCCATCCACGATCTTCGCCGTGAGATTGCAAAACAACGTCAAGCTAGGAACTCGTTGCTGCTACAGAACTTGAGATCGAGCATGAGTGAAGAGCAGATTCGAGCAAATGACCTCGCCCAGTTGAAAGGATCCTCAGCTTGGCTAACTGCTCTGCCACTTGCTGAAGAGGGCTACATCTTGACCAAGCGTGAGTTCTTTGATGCAATCTACATGCGTTATCGATGGCCTTTGAAACGCCTTCCATCTTTCTGCGCTTGTGGAAAATCGTTCACGGTAGATCATGCCCTGTCGTGCCTGAAAGGAGGTTTTATCCATCGAAGACATAATGAGATCCGTGATCTACTTGCTGCTGCTATCGATGACGTTGCTTACGATGTTTCAATTGAACCTGCTCTTGCTCCTTTGACTGGCGAGGTTCTTCCATCCAGTGCTAACTCAGCCGATGACGCCAGAGTGGACATTGCTGCGAGAGGTTTCTGGCAGAGATGTGAAAAGGCATTTTTTGATGTAAGGGTGTTTAACCCATACGCCTCCACACATCGACGCCAGACGTTGAGCAGCTCGTTTAAAGCCAACGAACGGGAAAAGAAGCGACATTACAACCAACGGATTGTTGAGGTCGAGCATGGCTCCTTCACACCGGTCGTCTTCAGCGCCTTTGGCGGATGCGAAAGAGAGACCCAACATTTTCTCTCCTTCCTGGGTGCGAAGCTGGCTGACAAGAAGAATCATTCTCCATCTATGGTGGTTAGCTGGTTACGACGAAAGATCGCCTTTGCTTTGCTTAGAGCTCGCGTGGTGTGTGTTCGTGGCAGTCGAAGTTGGAGGACTGCGTCCATCACATCAACTAACGACATTACGTTGTCGGAATGGAACTCCAACATTAGCGAGTAGTCTAGTTAAGTTGTTTTTGTAAATAGTCTGTAGAACTATTATACTTAATTTTAATGCATGATTGATTATTGTAAATTTCCCTAGTACTAATAATGTGAATAAATTATACTTTACTATTGAACCTATTCAATACCCACGTATTAATGTATAAACAGATTTGTTATTACCGATTGAGTCTCTGACACTATTAGAATATGCACAGTCTTTTAGTACCCTTCAAAATTTGACCCGCTTCAAAAGAAAACACTGATATCGACGAAGATACGGCGAAGAATGAAACACAAGGTCCAGCATCGAAGTTAAACGAGGCCTTGTCCTTGATGGCAAATCGATAACGGCAAACTCAAATCGCAATGTACTTATAAGATTGGCTATTTGCGTGGTTTGCAGTCAAACGATTGCTTTAGCTTAAATGTAAAAGAAAAGCTGATATATCAGATAGCAAACAACTATCTCTAAACTTATGTTTACCGTTTGCCGTTGACTTGCTGTACACATCAAGCTGAAGGTCTAATATATAATCTTTTAGCGTGTTCTGATTGGCTCCGCGAAGCAGATGGGCAAATTGCACTGTCAAATTGTTACCACTAATTTACTAAAGTTTGTTATTCTTAGTATTTTAGTATTTTGCGATGGATTTAAGTGAATATAATTCACGCAGGAATAATGTCGTTTTCGTTTATTCTTAGATTGATTATTTTAGTAAAACTGGGTATCTTTAGAAGCGGATATCAAAAGATACTTTTGCAAATGACATAAATCATAATGAACTTAAATTTAAAAAGTCCTCGGGCAGGTTGTTCGAAAGGTATTTTTGTTTAAACGGTGGATCAGCCAAAGTTTAAAAGTGTTCTTATAGACCTTCCGAATGACTCAACTGCGCCCTATGTACTTAATATGTACTTCCATTGAAAATTAAAATATTTCAGCTCAGTTGTTCAATGAATAGATAATTCTGTTTTCTATTTTGAACTAATCCACCGTTTAAGCCAAACGCCCTTCGAAAAACCGGCCCCTGATATCAAAAGGACAAAGACATCGACATGCAACAAACTATTTATACTTGCCTTCAAAAATGCGGACTTTTCGGAATCGTTGAAGTCTTTTTCGACGATCTCCCAGAGCCAATTTATCACACGATGTTTGTTGTGGTAGCCACCATAGTAAGTCGTGTTCGCTCTGAGGAAATATTCACGAACATGATTACAACAGAACAACTAATCGCATTGAAGAGTCAAATGTGCCTGAACCCAATAAAAAATCTCAAACATGAGGTCAACCAGCCTCGTACCCAGGCGCTTTAATAATAGAAAATGTAACGTTGCGCGCAACGGTGTTTGGGGAGGTTAAATTTGCCAAAACCACCCCAAGCAACCCCGCGCGCTCGCGTTTTTTTTAGCTGACCTCGATACAATAACTGAATGCAACATTTTTTTTTACTATTAAAGCGCCTGGGTACGAGGCTGGAGATCAACCGTTTCTTAAAGTTTGCATGCTTTATTTCTATGAATGAAAACATACCGTAAATCAGAGACATCCAGTGTAGTGCTATCGCCAGAGATCAGTTTTTGCAACTCGGGACCCGAGAACATTCCGAGCCAATTGTGTTGGATGAACTCTCGAAAGCCATGAAAGAACGCTCTGCTCTGATCTCTTAACTGGACGCACATCTTGTAGTGGGCCATCAGGATATAGCTTATTCTGGAAAAATAACAGTGAAAATTTTTGGGCCAACTATATATAGCTGCTTTAAATCAAAATTATATTTAACGAAAAAAATTGGCTGTACACTTTACAAAAACGCAATCTGTTTGTTATAAATCTTTTTATAAAGCAAATTGAGGCCTTCCAAGGACATGCAGTAAAAAGACACGAGATACTGCCAGTAATCATTTCATACGACAACAAATTCATACACAAATACCAACACTTTGAAGTTGTTTATTCCCTAAAGAATAAGGTGGGGTGTTGGCAAAAAGAAGGGCAAAGCATTCTTTAAGGTCTTATTTGTTAGTCCTTAATATCCTAATATTTGCAGCGCATTCTGATAAAATGTGTATACCGGCCATCTTTTTCGTAACTCTCCATCACTCACTTATTTTTATCAGTAACGTCCATAGTTCGTCCACCTGGCTTCAAATCGTGCGTTATGATCTTGGTATAACAAGTAAAACAACAATTCGTTAAAAACAGTCCTTATCCCATCACAAGGCCTCGCAACATTATTGGACAGATTTAGGATGACGACGCACACTTCAGAATTGACGTGAAATGGCGAATACATGGCGTGATGATCCCACATATGGACATGCCATGCCTTTTGTTCGCCAATTTCACGTCGTCTTTGACGTCACCGTCCTCAAGCTGAATCTGTCCATGCAGCTGCTGGGAAAAGACTACTTTGCAAGTACAAGCAATTAGCCAGTATCGCAATGGGTAAGGTTGTGTTTCTTCATTTTTTCCCTTATATATTTTCTCGAATCAAAAAAGTTCTAGACTTAATAGTAGTACGTACCTTTCCTAAAAATTCTTCATCAAATGAAAATGTAAGCCCCAAATCAGTCAAATCACCGTCGTAATTCTAAACAATGAAAAAATACAAATATTTACACAGTAATATTAAAATCGCGCCCAAGAATGAATCTACACACAAACATACAATACTAGGATGTTTATTTAATTTTGCAGTTGTTTAGCCACATTTTACGAGAAGTTCCCTTTCAAACCTTGACATAGTTCAGATTCTTATACAGATTAGGGTCCAGCGAAGGAAGCTCGTCGATGGAACTGTACAAAGCACCGTGCTGACGTGACAAGAGCAGACTGAGGAAGAATGGGGCGAAGGGAACATCAACGACGATACCTTATATAATAAAGTAACGACGCATGTTAAAAAAATGGATACGAAAGACATATCCAAGTTTTCTTAATCAAATATCCGGGAGATCTCAAGCTCGCATTTTATTTATAAGAACTATAGCTCTGAAATAAGTTTGAATCGAGTAAAATATATTTTAGGTATTTCAAATATTAAGTAGTTTCAACAGAGAAATGGATTTTTATTTGTCAACTAGTCATGCAAATGCATCAGTGAAAATTTTACAAACACAATAATTAAGACTAACTCTCCTCCTAAACTCTTTAGTAAAGTCACCGATATTTAGTATTCTCAACTAAACACGTTAACTAGTCTACCCAAAGGTCAAAGGTTTAAAACAGATTGACGCAGTAAAAAAATAGTGAAGGTCGAATATACCGGAATTTGGTATCTTTGATCTTGGTAAGGTCGAATATATAGGCTTGTTATCACCTCGCCTTCTGCGGCTAATTGTAAACACTAAGGTCGAATATACCGGAGCATGATATATTCGATCCTGGATCCTGATGTCTTTTTAGAGTTTACTGGGCTAAACCTTTATCTCAGAATGTAAAGAGCTCAATCAGTATAACGACGGTTTAACCTACCTCATAGACCGCTTTTCCCAACATTTTCCCGACAAACTCGAACAAAGCAAGGTGGTTGTCGTGGATGCAAGATGTTGGCGATGGATAAAGTCGTTGATCTTGAGTGAGCTAATTACTTACATTGAGATATCATGAGAATAAGGTCTGTTTTTAACTACTGGGTTCATGCGGGAATTAAGATTACGATTGTCAATCGTCTAACGATGATATTTATGATAATTTTAATCCTGATTATGATTACAATCGTGATCGTAAATGATTAATATGACCATCATCAAGATTTCGATTTAGATCATAACTGCAATTGTGACCGTGATTATCATCAACTGGGATTATGGACATGATTACGAATAAGATTAGGGTTACGAATGCGATCGTGATTATCATCAACTATGATTATGAATATGATTCCGAGTAAGATCATGGATACGAGCGTGATCGGGATTATCATCAACTGCGATTATGGACATAATTACGAATAAGATCATCGTTAGGATCGTCATAGTGATTATCATCAACTGTAATTATGCACATGATTACGAGTAAGATTTTAGTTACGATCGTGATCGTGATGATCAACAATTGTGATTATGCACATGATTACGAATAATATCATTGTTACAATGGTCATCGTGATTGGTCATCATGGATTGTGGGAATGATTAGGAAAGAATGTTGATTACGATGATTTAGCCTACACACAATGCTGACTGAAAGAACAAGGATTTCTACCTTAAACAAATTGAGCTGTGGATTAAAAGCTTGCTTGATTGCTTCCTCAAGAAATTCCTTAAACACTCCGTCTTGATCTATACCAGCTTCATCTAAACCCTGGATTGTTAAATGGAAAAATATATGCATATAAATTCATCTAACTCATTGCCACGATAATAAAAAAAGAGAAGGTCTACCTACATACTCATTGATGTGAAAAGCCAACTGAAATTCCCAGAAAATTTTGAATACTTTTGTGTAAATATTACGGGCCGAAAATTGATAACCTTTTCGTGAAAACGTTAGAGACTGTACGAAGCTTTCAGAAGCACACAACTGAAGAAGAGATTGAAGGTAATAAATATAAATCATGTTTCCTACATCTCTATGGGGTACGACGTGAGGAATCATTTGTAAAACTTCACTTGCTCTTGGCTTTCCTGCTGTTAACTCAGATTTGAAGGAACCAATTTTCAGTTCTCTGTAAAAGGTAAAATTTTACCTCCAATCAATTAGATTACATATATCTTCCCATAAAAAGGTAGTGAATGAAGATGCCTTGATCCATTCGAGCAAGGGTTACCATGCAGACGATCCATGCAAATCTTGATGCACATAAAAGTAATCATAAATGTCCATGAATTAGACAAAGTTGATAAATTTTAGATCATGGCAAAACTCCAGCGTTTCTGTTGTTCTACATTATGAATGACATAAAGGGACCGAGGCCAAAAGGTAAAGGCCTTTCCACAACGGCAAAGAGCAAAATACGACAGCCACTTGAATGGTATGAACATCAAGGTAAGTACATATTGACAGAGGTTACGGATACAACAGCAGGATGGAAAAAATGTTGTTTTCTTACTTGATTAACCAGTGATTCTTTGGCGTGAAGCGTCTACGAGAATCCCTGTCATAAATTAACATCAGAAGTGAATAAACCAAAGACAGCAGACGGTCCGTGTTGTCCAGTTGATTGACCACATCAGAATTTTCTACAACCATAGAAGAATGTCAGTTTGCGAGTTTGTTGCGCCGAAAATCAACCACTGAACTATAGAAGCCTGGACTGAATGGTGCATACCACCCAATCTACTTTTATTTGACCAGATAATGAAACATACATACAAAATTATTAACAATATTAGATTTTATAAATCTTACTCTTTCCGCGGGGTCTGTTCCACAGTAGTTTATAAGTCAGCGTGTTTAAAAACCCTGATAAAGCAGTCAGATCTTCCAAACTGAATGGCTTTTGTTTCTCGTACATTTCATAGTCATCCACAATGCTGAAAAGAATGTACGTTGATCCTATTTCATTTTTACACATGCATGCTATTTTCTCTTGCAGGAGTAGCAGGAATGGCAGAAAATGCATGGGAAAGCGTAGATAATGCAGTTAAGTAAATGGAGCTATATAGTGTATATACAGAGTGTAATCTAGACAACTATAGATCTAGTTCTAAGAAGAGGGCGTACTGCCTGCGTATTAACACAATATTGGTTCATTATGCTTCCATATGGCTACAAACGAGACTGTATGTACTATGTACAGAAAAATTTGAAACATATACGCCAATTTATAAAAATCTAACTTATATAACCCAATGGCTGGGATATATATTAAACTCGATACTTACGGAATGAGATGACCACAGCAATCACAAAACAAAATAAGCAAAGATTGAATGGAGGTCAACATTTGTGAAGATTCCGAAGAAACAAAACTCAGTATCAAACTCAGTCCACCATCGCGGCCTAATTCTTGCAAGAACTTTAATAGTCGTAGAAGAAACTCCTCGTTGAAACTGAGACCTATGAGTAAGAGAAAACAAAAATATGACGGAATGAAGATGATTAGTGATTGGTGATCATGATGTGATGTATGGAGGCTTAGGAACCACGGAATACCGAAAAAAATACATGTTTTATTTCAGCACAAATTTTTCCTGTTTGCCTGCTCATTCTTTCAGGTGGATGATGCACTTCCAGGTTAGGGGTTAATCACGATTGGGAATAAGGTGAAAAAATTGCATTCATCATTAACCCTATAAATTAAGGTAGGTCTTCGAAAAGTGGTAACGCTTTTTATACAATATAAATACAATTACATACAATATATATTAATATTTTAAGCAAAATATAAGTGTTAATGGATAAACTATATATACATTATAAACTATGCATTATAGCTAAGAGTTATAATCCCGTTAACACTTGCAATTTTAAGTGCGATTTAATATGTGATTTTCTTCTTTTAGTAAATGAGAACGAGTGACTAGTTACGAATGCTCTGATGTGTATAAATAAGATTTGGAGATCAGTAACCAAAATCGCAGAAAAATTCGCAAGTGCATGTAAACGTCGGGTAGCATTGATACGTAATTGGGGGAGGGAGGCGTTAAAGACAATCGATTTGAAAAGAAATTAATTCCCCAATTATCGAAATTAGCTACGCCATTGCATGCATGTATTTAGTGCACATTTCGACGTTAGGGGATACCTTTACTTTTCGCCGTGGTCTTTTCGGAGTCCTGTTACTCCAGTGTGCTCCAGTTGCTGGCGCTGTTGAAAAATTTTAAACTTCGCGTTTCGCCAAATCTAATGTCTAAAAAGAAATTTGCAAACCAATTTTTTAAATGTAAAGTATATTTGTGAGAGACATAACTAAAAAAGTAAACAATTGTAAAATGGCCTATAAAATTGATATTTGCCTGAGAACACGGTCGCAAGTTCTCCATGGTCACACGCTATTTACGCAATCTTAGTAGGTAATATACTGTATAATACTGTATGCCGGTATTCAAAACCTCCAAGGGTACATTCTAAGACAAGCAATGTATACATGCCGGCATAGCATGAGTAGACAGAGATGTGAATGGACTTGCTACAAATTGTTCGTAAGATTTTTACAACTACTGTAAGTGGCGCGTTTTTTTACGCTGGTGAGAACCATAGTAACCATAGTATGGATGCACATTACCTGTGGTGAAATGTTTGTGAAATGAAGAAATTGTCCGGGAATTGACATTATATTAACTTGAAATAATTTCATCGATTTTTCATTAAATCCGGACCCTTCAGAAACTCTACAAACGTGAAAAGAAAACGTCGCTGTATTGCTAAACGTGAAACATTTATATAGACAATAAATTCATACAGTATACACTGTAAAATAAGATTATTATAGCAACTAATTTAAAATTGTTTGTCTCAGTTCTCTTTTTAATCTATTTTATTTGGTAAAACCAATTTTATTATTTATTTTTTAACTGCCAAAACAGTCTAACTAATGAACAAAATTGGTTAACCAAAACCAAATACCAAAATAATAAAAATAAATACCCAATAACATTGGTTTACCTCAAGGATAATGTTAAGATTGCTGCAAGTTGCGTGGAGCGAAGAGCTGGATCATTGCGACAAAGACCACTCATTGCGAGTTCCTGTTGAACAAAAGATCGTATAATAATATATCATTGTTTCTGAAAACTAAAGGAAAAACATCTCGACCATGCTGTTGAGACTCAAGGCATAGAAAAAGCCTCGCCGTAGAAGAAATGTAGCCGACGATGACTGCATTGTTAATTCACTCTCGAGATTTCAGTTGAGGGTCTTATACGAGATACGAGTAACGAAACGGGGATGAATTTCCTACTGCATGAAATGTGCAGGTTTGGCAAGAACAGATATACATGAATTCATCATATTGCGAGCTTGCAATGACTCTGTCTCTGTGTATATTTTGTTACTAGCCTACGAAAATTATATTTTGAAATCGATATATATTTGAAAGCGTGAGCCAACAAGAACGTACCCTTAATGAAGAATAAAACTCGTTCATTTCCAAATGAAGAAGAACGTTCTTGCATAACAGACTCAACCCAGGCTTCCACTTTTCCCCTGCAAAGGATAACCTGACTTACAGTAGCTTAAGTTACAAACATGCAGCTGTAGCTGTTGTATGTAGACCTTTCAGAAAGATGATGGAAAGATGTGTCGAAAATGCGATTCAATTTCATAAAAGGTTTGTCCAATACTTTTTTCGCCAGCCGTGGGGAATTGTCTATCAACAGTTTTAAATGATACATGCCGATAGCTTTTAGCTCACTTTCAAGTGCCTCTTTCTAAACACCTAGAACTTATTCAATCGTTTACATTGATCAAAAAAAGGAATTGCATGCACTTAAACTCGGATTCACCCTACCTCCTTTGATCAATGTGACACGACATGCAATGCGGTGAAACGAAATATTATCGCAAACACCACAATATTATCGATATTATCACAAATACTAAATATCGGGCTCATCACTCTGATAACAGGACGAATTGTAAGGCCAGACAAAATTCTCACTCGCAAATTCTCTTTTTTTAAAGGTGTAGCTCAGTGGAACTGGATTCACATGTCACAACTCAAAATGGTGCACAAAAAACAAAAATTACGAATGAAATTTCTGCGCACAAATTTTCAAATATTTCTGTGGCCATTTCATATCACTTACCATGCCTAAGTAAATACTGATAAGTTTTGTGTCGCTTCCAGAAGTTGGCTGAGTAAAAAAGTGGAATGAACATTAAACATAAATCACTACTGTCTGTAGACTTTTAACCCATTTACACCTTACCTTACCTTTAACCCATTAATACCTACGGCAAAGCTCATCAGTTCTAACAGATATATCTCCGTAAATAAATTCATTCAAACCATATACATTTCTACTCTTGAAAATTCGGGAGTGAAGTAGATTTATCGGGAAATTCCGAGCTATAGGTTGTTAAATTTTAGATCTCAAAACTCAAAAGATTGACCGAAGAAAATTTGCCGGTATAAAAGAGGCTTGTCGCCAGTTGTTACCTTGAGTTTTTTTATATAGCGGGAACAAATGACGAGAACTTTCTTCAACTGGGTTATCCATAAAAGAGCCCAATCTTTCGTCAATGCAGGATAGATATACCACATCTAAATATATAAAACAAAGAATCCTTGTATAATTTTGTATATATGAGCATATATTTCAACTTTTAGTTCCCCTTGCTTGTTATTAAATTTGCTTAATAGATTTTGGCATTTCAAATTTTGATAGGAAACAATTGAATGTCAAACCACATTTGTCCGAAATTTTCATCGCTTTGGCATGCATCGAGGGGTGTCGATTTGTAGTATGTCTATTACGTTGGGACGAATGCAAAAATTATTTTTAGGATTGACAAAAGATGGTATAAAAGGAAAGAGCAAGGTCAGAATTAGCCATTTCGGTCGACCAATTAAAATAGAGCATTATTGATTACAATTAATTAAGGGTTAGAGACTGTTGTGAGTGTTTTGTTCAAAAATAAACGCACGTGCTAACCACACAATGAACGAGAAATTTCAATATTGCAATAGTAAAATTTCGAGTTTATTGTATGTATGGTCAGCAAGTGCGTTTATTTGTAAACAAAACACGAACATAAAGTCTCTAACACTTTTAATATACAATCTGAGTTCATTGATTGCTGCATTGAAGATCAATTAAAGCTTCGTTAGCCTTCGTTGCAGGCTGTCATTTTTTAATAAACCACGATTTTCATGCGATTTTCATGATCTGTCGCCAGGCAACGAAAAACCACGTGATTGATTTTGACCAATCGCGTGAGTAGATTTAGGCCAATGCACGAAGATTGTATTATTTGACATTTGTATACCAGGGTATTAACATTTTAAAACAATCATACAATTCTGTTTCTCTGAAAGGCCCATTGTTTGATATCAGCCCATGCACACTCACTCCTTTCATATTAGGTAGATTTAGATTGGACACAAATGGCAAATTGTAAATGACAAATTCACATTGTCCTTAGCGTTCCAGTTCTCGTTATTTATAAATTACACAATAATGTTTTAACATCCTTTCTTATATATACTTCCTTGTCTTTGCCCTCTTGAAAAATAAATAGAAATTTTCTGATCGCTTGAAAGAGACCCAAGCCTGTAAAATAAATTCTGAATTCAGAATGTCACAGGATGCAAACCACACTGAGGCATTTTCAATTTTGCATAAAATTTAGGGGCAAGAAGAACCTATAAGGTGCCTTAACTTATTGTAACATCTAACAGGGTTTTTCTAAATGCACTGCTTTCAATTTTCAACTTTCAATTTTCAATAGTTTCAATTTACTATATTGAAGCAACCATTCAGACTCAGTGTATATATTATATCCACCTTGTTCACTCACAGGGCTCAAGAATTTGAAAATGAACATAAAATTAATACCTGTTGGTTTTGTTTCTTTTGAAGTGATAAGAAAATTATTGATTTCATCTCTAAATGGAATAAAAACAGTGCTTATTCATATAACCTTAAAAATTGTACCTACTTATTAATAGTTGATATGATATAGGATGCATACTGATACTGGTAATTTTAAACTAATTTGTCACTATAATATAAAGACATTGTTTAATTAATACTTTTTCTAAACTTTAATTGTATGGCTGTGCCATACCAACCTGATTTTTCTGTGGATTATACGACAGTATGTATATACTTATACTATGTACAGTGTAGTTTGTACTAAAACAAATGTAAACAAATTTGAGAATCCTACCAAATTTGACTTCTCAACTTCAACAGCACCAAATATGACCTTGCTGCAGCCTATATAATTTAATATAAAGTATGTTAGTAGATTTATGTGATGTACAATATCAATACATACAATGCACTAAGAATGAATGTAAAACTACATATGCAGGCCTTATTAATGAGGGGCTGAATGGATGCAGTGCAACAGTTCAGTGCTTGACATTAACATGTTATTACGGGTACTTGTATAAGAAAAAGGCCCATTCTGGGTGCCACATGTATTGAGCAGGACAATTCTGAGAATTTGAGGCCCTTTTAGCACCAAGCATTTCAGAGACTTGTATCTTCTAGTGAGCTGACTGGCTCATATTTTTAAAATAGTTTTTAAACTTGTTGCCTTGTAATAGCTGGCCATTGTAATATAACCAACATATTATTGAGTATTTTAAAACCAAACTTGAATTTGGCTGTGTTTAATATTTCATATAGGGTGTTATCATGCAGATTACCGAGAAATAAGTAGCTGTTTCCAAGAAAGGACATTTCCATATATTAAATTATATAAAATCTTATTAAAACCCGACGTCTTAATTAACAAGCACGTTCACTCACCCTCACGAATTTGTAAAATTCGAAATAGTGGATTGACCTCAAACGATCGCTAGTCGACTGTCAAGTGTCAGGTGTGAAGGCAAAACTGAAAACTCAGGACAGTAAACCGCCAGGCTCCAGTTACCTGTATTTTAATAACGGCCCTTTCTTTCTGCTTTTCCAAACTTCTCTGATCTCTTGCCGCCTTACTGCGGTTGAGTGTTGACGAAATCATCTTTATTATCCTCAGGGCCTTTTTTAAGAAATTTCGAGTGGGTGGGCCATTGGCAAAAAAGGGCTTCCCCACTAGCGGAAAGAAGCAGGAATGTCGATCATGGCCGAAAGCTAGGGGGCACCCGGGAGATTTTTGAAATCAGTATAGTCAAGAAACGCCGTTTCCTATATTCTGAGCCTTCAAATTTATTCTAAAAACTGTATTTGTATCTCAGATAAAAATATGGAAAACGCACAAAAAATACAAAGTTAACTTACGTCTTACCAAAAGTAATATCAAAGGTACAACATGTGTGTCAATATCAACAGGGAGTAATGGAGTGTATATTTGACAGTTTAGTGTATTTTCCAGTCTGAAGAATATTTTCTTTAAACTGGATAATCTCTGTACACTCAAATATCCATGTATATTTGTAAAGATAAAGATGCATTTGAAATATTGTACGTTACAACAGAAAAATGATTGATCATTGATGAATCTATTTGTCTATTTAAGCCGTTTTTGTTCTTGACTGTCTCGACAAATAACATTCGTCGAGTTACATTGGACAAAGGTTGGGTTACAGAATACAAGAGTGCTAATAGTAATACACTGTCGCAGAGCTAAATTATTCAATATTCTTCATTTTTTGTTAATATCTTTTAAAAAGGGGATTTTCACTGGGGGGGCCAAAATAGTGAACTAGGGGGGCCAACATGGAGGGTGGGGGGGCCTTGGCCCCCCAGTATATATGTTAAAAAAGGCCCTGATTATCCTTAGCAGACGAGCTGAACATTAGTGATAACTGATAACTATGCTTCAATTTTTAAATTTGGAACAATTCTTGTAAACAACAGCCATTTTTGTTTCGATCAGGTTGTCGCTACTTCATGTAATAACGGACACGGTTGCACATGTTGGCTCAGCGCACTAACCTGTATATTAGGTTATTACTCCGGCGTCAGCGACGATGTTGAAAATTCGCCCCGGTTTTGTTTTGTTTTTGTTTTGTTTTTACTGCGTCGCGCACTGCGCGAACGCAGTCTTAAATTGCTGTCGGTGTTTTGTTTTTTGTTTTTTTTGTTTTTTACGTTTTCGACCCGGTCTACCTGGCCGCGCAGGCCAACTAAGATACTCGTATTTTGAACTCGTTTGATTTCGTATCGAAATATTTGCGTGAAACACAACAAACACACTTCAAATAGTAATCTACACGTGAAACACAACTAAACACACTTCAAATAGTAATCTAAGCCTAGTAACCCCCACAAAAGAAATATTTTACAGAAACAAAAAATCGAAAAAGTTTGTTGTCGCCGGGATTCGAACTCGGGTCGTGCGAACTAAAAGCAGGAAACTCGGCATGCACGATACACGTCATATAAAATAACACGTACACGAGTCGCTGTGCATGGCCGATAGCGCAGGAAATCTAGACGTTTGTTGTTCCAGAAAATACGTACAGGTAATCATAATGCTGGATTCTTGACTTGTCTTGTTTAATATGCTCACCCTGCATACACCAGCACACACTGATCATGGTAAACCTACACTAAGACGGGTTTACAGACAACGATCACATGAATCAAGAAAGCCTTTTATGCCATGAAAGCCTTGTATGCTATGAAAGCCTTGTATGCCATTCTATGCCATTTTTCAATCAAACCGCACTTTCCTTTCAAGGGTAAAAACGGCCAGACCAATCCTATTGAATTTCAGTACAAACTGATTCCCAGAGTACATGATTCCAAACTCAGCCATATTCACGTATATCGTTAGCTACATATGCCTAGCACCAATAATGCAGTTTTACCCCTATATTCTGTACGAAGTGCTCTATTTACTAGAAAACCTAAGAAAGAAACATTTTTCTAAAGGAATAAATATTGACAGGAAATGGGGCACAGTTGCATGCAACGATTGGCGCGACGCAGTAACCGCCAGAATAGGCGTCTTGTTACTCCGGCGTCAGCGACGGAGTTGAAAATTCGCCCCGGTTTTGTTTTGTTTTTGTTTTTTTTGTTTTTTTTTTTTATTTTTCGTCGTCGCAAGTGTGTAATGGCGCGAAATATACTAGTACTTAAACGTGTATGTGACCGTATTTATCTACGTCCCAGTCTTATCTCCCAAGAGTTGTGGTGCACAGCTTTGGCTAATTTTCCGATGCGCGATTCGATTTCGCTCGCATGATACGGCAATTCCTCCAAGAGGAACAAATAAACCGTTCTTTTCATGCTGTTCGATTAAGTTTAGATTGAATTGGGGTAAGAATATATTTAATACATGTAGACCCGGTCCTATTTTAATAATATCGCTGCTATTTCGCCGTTTAACAAGATGTGTGGTCGTGTATGGGCGCGTTGACACGTCTCGTAGTTTGCACAGGATCGAAGATTTAATACAACTATATATATAAGCGCGAATTTCAAAGGCAAAGTGTAAGACGAAGCGAATGTATCATGCGGTTTATTTACATTTTTGAACAATTGAACTTCTATACTGCGATGTGCTTCTGAATTTCGCGATCGAACATTTAGGTTCGTAAGGCATGAGGCATCTAAATGCGAATATGTATGCGAAACAATACGCGAACTGTATTGTTTATGTTCAGAAGCTCTATATTGAAGACTGGCACGTGCGCCGGAGTTAACGCCAGAACGGCGTCTTGTTTTATTTTTCGTCGTCGCAAGTCTGTAATGGTGCGAAATATACTAGTATTAAAAATGTGTATGTGACCGTATTTATCTACGTCCCAGTCTTATCTCCCAAGAGTTGTGGTGCACAGCTTTGGCTAATTTTCTGATGCGCGATTCGATTTCGCTCGCATGATACGGCAATTCCTCCAAGAGGAACAAATAAACCGTTCTTTTCATGCTGTTCGATTAAGTTTAGATTGAATTGAAGTAAGAATATATTTAATACATGTTGATTCTGGTCCTATTTTAATAATATCGCTGCTATTTCGCCGTTTAACAAGATGATGTGGTCGTGTATGGGCGCGTTGACACGTCGCGTAGTTTGCACAGGATCGAAGATTTAATACAACTATATATAAGCGCGAATTCCAAAGGCAAAGTGCATGTAAGACGAAGCGAATGTATCATGCGGTTTATTTACATTTTTGAACAATTGAACTTCTATACTGCGATGTGCTTCTGAGTTTCGCGATCGAACATTTAGGTTCGCAAGGCATCTAAATATGTATGCGAAACAAAACGCGAACTGTATTGTTTATGTTCAGAAGCTCTATATTGAAGACTGGCACATGCGCCGGAGTTAACCCCAGAACGGCGTCTTGTATTAGGTATGTATCCAGGGTTTTATGGAAATTTTGATATAAAAGCAAGTGAAATTCTATAGAACTTTCAACATTTTCTTTCATCAATTAAGACCATAGACCTCATTGATTAAAAACTCAAAATTTCCAACGACATAAAGAGACTTTTTGAGATTGCTATCACAATTTACTTTGTAAAAATCATTTGGCAGGGACACCACAACAGTTTACACCAATTACAGTGGGCCCTTACAATAAAAGCAGAGCACATTTAAGTGACGAAACGCAACCATACGATACAACAAGACAAAACGAAACAACGAAACGAAACCGGCGAAACAAAACAAAGCAGACCGAAACAAGATATGAAAACAGGGAAAACGAAACGTATTAACGTACGATTTAACCGCAATTTAGGCAATTTTCCGTGTCCGTCGATTATTTTGTTCATAGACCAGATTTAAAGCAGTACGGTAATAATAATGACTAAGCTTAAAGATTGATGTCTTAGTTCATCAGGCAGAATGTTCCATGTTCTGTTTACCATGCTTTGGTTACGATGTCAAATATTTTGACATTGATAACCATGCTGTTTTAATGGTCAAATGCTTGTCCTATGTAAAGTTGCAAGCATGTTTCGTGCTCATATACAAACATTAAACAATATAACAATGCTTTGGTTATGATGTCAAATATTTTGATATGGATAACCACGCTGTTTTATAATGGTCAAATGCTTGTCCTATGTAAAGTTGCAAACAAGTTTCGTGCTCATATACAAACATTAAACAATATAACAATGCTTTGATTATGATGTCAAATATTTTGACATTGATAACCATGCTGTTTTAATGGTCAAATGCTTGTCCTATGTAAAGTTGCAAGCATGTTTCGTGCTCATATACAAACATTAAACAATATAACAATGCTTTGATTATGATGTCAAATATTTTGACATTGATAACCACGATGTTTTAATGGTCAAATGCTTGTCCTATTTAAAGTTGCAAGCATGTTTCGTGCTCATATACAAACATTAAACAATATAACCATGCTTTGGTTATGATGTCAAATATTTTGACATTGATAACCACGCCGTTTTAATGGTCAAATGCTTGTTCTACGTAAACACTGGTTTAAAATTTAACCCAGGGTTAGCGCTAACCAAGCTTTGAACAACTGGGACCAGGGCGTTTTGTGTAGACAACGGTATACTTACGAAATTACTCCCGTAAAAAGAAATGCGCGTTTTGTTATTCTATTGGTATATTACATTCAATCAAAAAGTACAAAAGCCACATATTGAGGTTAGTTTTCTCTATATATTCCCGGCGCCAGACATTTTCACCGACTTGTACATGTTTGGTATTCATGCATCGCAACACGACAGTTCCTGGGACTAATCAGTTTCGCTACTCCTCAATTGTAGACGAATCTTCCCTAGTTCTTTGAGAACTTTGTCCAATTTGCTTTCCAAGAAATTCTGTTAAAAGAGTGCAAATATGCATTTTTCAAGATTTTTCCACAAAAGAGGACCACGTAGCGCTAATGGATGAGGCAAAAGGGGACAAAGAATATTTAAATATGTTCCTAAATACAAACTGCCAGTATTTAAAACGTTTTATACAATTCAAATTTGGTAATTAAATCTGATAGTGTTATTTTAAAACAGTAGCGTAGCCAGCCTGTCGATTTGTCCCGCTATGCTAATATTTTAGTGTTCACTGACTGTGAAAACAATGGAATTCTAAAAACATGAATAATTATAATAACTCGAAATTTAACGCCTACGTCTACCAAATTTACGTGGGTTTTGTATGAACGCTTAAACTATTCATCTGAAATTATATTTAGTGAATATTTAAAATGAATTTCAAATTTCAGCTTAGTCATAATATACTCGGCACTAGCCTTGTCTTCTTTTTCCTGTCTCGACATCTGCGACCAGGAATTTTTTGTCAAGGCAGTCTCTAACTTGATGAAAAACAAAAGCTATAGTGTCCGAGTGTTCGTTTTTGGGGGTATTTTTTGGGTTTGGGTAATATTATCTAAACATAAGAAAATATTGTCTCTTCGATAAAGCAAAGCACAAAACACAGTATATAGCCCTAGGAACTTACAATCGGGCTATTTAATAGCTAGGTATTTAACTTCACAAAAATAATAGCACGTAAAGTCTAACCTCCATCTTTGACTTGTAATTACCTGAATTAATAATGTTAATAGAACGAATAGGAGTGCAATTAATGCCAAAATCATACGAGTGATTACAAAATCAACCGACCGCGCAGCGGGAGGTTGATTTGTTAAGCACGAGTATGATTTGGCATTAATTGCACGACTTAATTCGTTCTATTACTTATTAATTATCCATCTTCTGTAATCAAAAATTCTGGTCATTTTCTTCTGCAAATATATCATTTAAAAGGTCAAAATTTTCAAAATCATTGTCAAATTCCTCCATTTTTGAAAATTTCGCGCCCCAAAAGAAAACAAATTCTTATTTTGTATCCTGAATGCTGATTGGCTACTTGTAAAGCTATGCTGAATTTCATTGGCTGTGAACAAGAGTGCGATTACAGCTCACCAAGAGTGCGATTAATGATTAATCGCACTCCTGTAAACCAATCAAATTGAAGTATTTGACAGTGATTACAGAAGATGGATAATTAAAAGGAAAACCGACGTTGGTATCACAGTTGTTTCTCCCTGCAGTGCAATCTTAGGACTTGCTAGGTCAAACGTTCATATTCAGTTTTCAGATTTTTTCATGGTATGTCGGTGCTGACCAAATCCAGACTAATATAGCATCTCCCATAACCAAAATTATATGGTATTTTACTTACTTTTCGAGTTCAATGATCCTTTGCCTGACTCGTTATTAGCTCTCAATCGTGTTTTTGAGCATAACTATGAATTCGGCTCGCCGGCTTTCTCGATTCACCGTTGTCATGATTTACATCCTGTTCTGAAAAAAGTTTGAATAGTTTATAGTACATTTGATAAACAAGCTACACCAATTGCGTGCCGTATATTCGAATTTGTAGATGTTGGATTTGAGATCTCTTTTTCTAACCTGACAAGTCACCAAGGAGAACGAAGTGCGAGAAATTTTGTTTCAGAGAAGTAAAGAAGTATACAAATTTGGCAATTTTTTGCAATGGATGGAACATGGTCATGCAGTCGATGAGATCAACATGCTGTAAATAATAACTGACCTTTCTTATAAAGTTGATTGCAATAAGCACAGACCAAACTATCTTCTTCCTCGTATTCCCGATCGTGCATTTTCTTAGAGCCATTGGGATATTTTGTGAACCTACGACCCTCGACAACATCTGATGGCTTTACCGATGACAAGTCAACCATTTCATCTCTTTCCGCTCGATTGCTATAATAGTTCAGAGAGCGTAAATTACTTTAATACTCCGATTTGAACACTAAAATCATGAAGTTCAGAACTAACGGTTTGTTAATCATGTTTCTAAACTAGAATTCTGATCTCTTAATGGTTGTAGTAGTGGTAGTGCAAGTCAAACCTGAAGAATGGAATGATTTCAACCAAGGTTGAAACTTCCATACCTAAATCGTCGCGTGCTCTCCTTATAGTGATCATATTTCAACCTTTCTCTGTCTTCTTTAATATTATTTTCAACTCTAATTTTATCAGTGATAAGGCTAAAATTGGTTGGCTGCTCCCAGGTTCTTCTGCTTGATCTTTCGACGATCCTGCGGCAACTGCAACGAAACACTTCAAATGTAAACTGTTCCAAAATAACTTTGCAGTTAACCGTATTATTATCCATCATTCAAAGCCAATATTAATCAGTGGCGGGTCTAAGGGTCCTACAGCTTAAAATCGGAATCGCATTCGCAGATTTTAATGTATAAGAATATTCTTTTCAAATCTATAAGCAACAGTGTTGTTATTAAGGTGTTTTTAATTCAAAATTAAGCTGTGTAATTTATTCTGCACACCCCCAGATCCGCCATTGAATATGAAGTAATTATTTTGGAAGTGCTGCAATATCTCCTGCTGAGTGTTGGGCAAATTTGCGAGAATGGTCTTCCTACCTGCTCTGGTTGCCCAGGACTTCTCGTAGTGAAGTTTCCAAATTTCCCTTAGTTATATTAGCCTCGGATAATTCCCTGTAAAAAGATTTAATGGACAATTTGCATGTTCGACTAATTTTTATCAAAGCAAGCGGAACGCGTACTAGAATTTGCTTGCCCATGTTTCAAGCATTTTACAACTTTTCGTTTCAACTTTTACAGTTTTACAGTTTAACCTTATGCTTTATGTACTATATAGAACGTAGACCAGGTGCATTTGATTGTTTTCTGTAGAACGGACTTTAGACAGGGCCATGATAGTTTATTCATATCCCAGATTTGCATGCAACTTAAGGCCCGTTTACACTCGCGATTTTTGCTGCGATTTAATATGCAATTTTCTCCTTTTGATAGATACGAACGAGTGAATTAGTTTTGAATGCTCAAATAGGAGCTCGTGCTCATCGGAGTATTGCTAAGTTTTGACTCGTTCACATCTATCAAAAGAAGAAAATCGCATATAAAATCGCAAGAAAAATCGCAGGTGTAAACCGGCCTTTACCTTCGTAAATTTTGACCTTACCCTTGACTTTCAGCTAACTTTTCTTCTAAAAGATACACGTGTCCCTTGATAACCAAGAAAATGGAATTATTATACATAGTAGATGATTGTACGCTCTTTCGAACACACGTTAAATATATCGTGCAGTTTATACTCTGACTTTGTAATAACCTAATGCGTTCTGTGAATTACTAGTGATATTAGAGAGATTTAGCATGAAGACGTGAAAATGGTGTGGCATGTCCATTTTTGGACGCATCACGCCATTTATTCGCCATTTTCACGTCGTCTTTGACGTTCACGTCTTCATGCTAAAACACCCTATTATGTTGTTAGACGACAGAAATCGCGGAAACCTAGGTTGCCATCTTTCTGGTTATAATTAAACAAAACGTTCAACGTTAAGACTGCATGAGGTTTCTTTAACATATGTATTATCTTTTAATGTGTACCTTCGTCTTTTCATGTTTCTCGGTGAGAGAATCGTATTCGTTAAGAACCTGCAACGAGAAAGACTTTTGAAAGAGAACTGAAGAACTGAATTGAGTACCAGTCGCAAAGGCGATTACTGCACTTTTAAAGAAATAGAGGGTGGGGTTCAGCAATGACACCGCCACCGGGGACAGTAGATGGCCTATATGAGGTGTCCGAGTACCATAATCTTTTGGTGTAAAAAATCCTGATAGGATTACTCATATTTTTCACATCAAATTCAAATGCATTTTAAACTGTTCTTCATTTCAAAAACTTTGTGTGTATATCATTGTTTTCTTTGAACATGGCAAGAAGAAAAATCCATAAAACTAACCCTTTTTAACATATCTTTATCTCTTTGAATACTCTCTCTGATTTCATTCTGTCAAAAAAGTTGTATGTACATTTATATTGTTTGTTCTCACTAATGATTAAAACATAACGGAGAAACCAGTCTCATCGATCGTTCCCATCATTTCAAATACTCACTAGTCCAGCCTTGGCAGAACTAGCGGACACATCCTTGACTGTTTGTTCAAGCGATACAACTTTTTTCTCCAGGTCTTCAATGGTCAAATCTTTATCTCGATTTTGTACAACCAAACGATCGACTCTCTTTTGCGTTGCACTAAACATACTTCTCTCCACCTCAAATTTCACTTTCTTATCTTCCTAGAAAACAAGAAGCACCCACTTCCCAACTGAGTTTAAAATATCTACCCGGACGTGCCTGTCATTTGTTTATAGTGATTTATTTAGGTTCTTCGTATAAAACATGCATATAGGAAAAACAACAATATTAACATAAAATGGCGCTTAACTGAAAAGCGCGCTAAAACAGTATGTACTTCATTTAACATATTGTCAGTCATTTTCGACATCCTCCGGGGGCACGCGAAGATCTTGAATCCAATTCCTGATCTGTTCCATAGCTTTTCCCGCAGCTGCCCGTCGTGGCCGTTGTGAAATACGATCATTCACTTGGGTCGTTTGATCCCTTTGTTTGGCGTGATCCTTGTCTTTATTCTCACAATCATCCGTCTTTGCTCTTACTTCGAGAGGATAAAGTTTCGTTATCGGTCGGTTTGTCTTACCTACCAGTCTCTTGGCATTTCCTTGGAGTTCAGTTTCATTAAAGTTTGGATCTGATAGTTCGTCGTCATCAGACTCTCGTTCGGTAGAATTGTCAATCTCCTGCCGTATAACAGATGCGCTGGTGTAAGTGGCTGCTCGTCCTTTATATCTGATGACACGTAGGTCAAAGGTCTGTCGTTCATAATGGCTTCGATCTCCACTGCGAGGGTTTGTAGTGTTACTAAGTTCACCGACGCTTTACCGAGTACTTTCTTTAAGGCCGTTTTCGTCAGTCCTACCAATCTCTCCCAAAAGCCACCGAACCACGGCGCTCTCTTTGGAATGAATTGCCATTCTACGTTTTGCTTGTTTAATGACTCTTTCAATGCTGGTGATTTGAACAGTTTTCTCAATCCTTCGGCCGCTGACAAGTAGGTAGAAGCGTTGTCTGACATCATTAACTTCGGTAATGACTTTCTCGCGGCAAATCTACGGAATGCTAGCCTAAATGTTGGTACAGACATGTCCGTTACAATTTCGAGGTGTATTGCTCTTGTGGTGGCGCATGTAAAGAGTGCAATGTATGCTTTGGTTTCTGTTCCCGATTCTCTTATAAGCAAAGCTCCCGTAAAATCAACACCGGTGATTTCGAATGGTCGCGCTTCTTGAACTCTTGACTTATGTAGTGGTGGTGGATCGGGTGGATTATACGGGGTGCTGCATATCTTTCTGCAAGTGACACATTTATTGATGATCTTTTTCACGAGTTGCCGTCCGGAAGGAATCCAATATCGTTGACGTAATGCTGTTAAGGTGGCGTTTACACCAGAGTGTAACTGACGTTCGTGCTTCTCGGTGATGATGAGCTTCGTTAGGTCATTTCTCGGTGGCAGAAGGATTGGAAATTTCGTACAATCAGCGAGGGGGGCGTTGTGGATTCTCCCACCGGAACGAAGAAGACCAAACTTGTCCTTGAACAGGCAAAGTTGGCGTACTAGTGGTGGTCGTTGCGTAGTTTTCGATGAGAGGATTTGGATTTCGTTGTGATATGTCAACTGTTGCGCATTACGGATTAGTTGACGAGTTGCTTCATCTCTTTCGACTGGTGTCAGAGGACCAATTCTTGTAACTTCTTGTTTATCTCTGCAGTTTTTGACGAAACGTAAAACGTATGCTGTTATTTTGATTAATCTGGAGAGACTACTACAGCTCGAGATTTGTATGAGGTGGTGAAGTCCAGGCTGTTTGTAAGGATCGTGGAGTGTTATTGCTTTGTTCTCTAAACTCTCTGGATCCTCGGCTTGGGTCAGTAATGAGTGGGTTGAGGGGGTCCAAGATGGCCACATCTCTGGGGTTGCTAATAGCCAAGTTGGCCCGGTTTTCCATAATTCTGATGCCTTGAGTTGATGGGTGGAAATTCCTCTGGTGAGTAAATCGGCCGGGTTATCTGTTGTAGGACAATATTTCCAATCATCGATCGAAGTGAGGGATTTGATGTCTGCGACACGGTTGGCAACATAAGGTTTAAGTTGTTTACTACTGCGAAGCCAGTGGAAAACGATTTGACTGTCCGTCTACAGAAAAACTTTGACAATTTGGAGTATGTTTTGTAAGTATGAACATAATCGCGCTCCAATCGAGGCCGCCGTTAATTCTAATTGAGGTAATGTCAATCGTTTTAGTGGTGTAACTCGTGACTTAGCCATGGCGAATGAGGACTGATTGGCTTCTGAAGATTTCACATATGCTGCGGCTCCGTACGCTTTCAAGCTCGCATCTACGAATACGTGTAGTTCCGTGTCTTCAGGTAGGTTGTTCGTTGACGGGAAGTATTGACGGGGTACTTGTACACTGGTACTTGCTTCTAATTCTTTAGCAATATTATTCCATCGTTCTTGCATTTCTGGGGGTAACAGTTCATCCCATTGCAACCCTGTTTTCCATATCTCTTGCATCAAAATCTTCGAATTAACGACTACGGGATTAAGGAAACCGAGGGGGTCATAGATCTTCGATGATGTGCGCAACACTTCTCGTTTCGTAGTCGGATCAGCTTCTGATACGGTGACGTTGTTAGAATAGAGAAGGGTGTCGTCAGTGGTGTCCCACTTCATTCCAAGGACTTTGGGTTTGGGGTTGTCGTTTAGGAGGTTTTCACCAGCTGCGATAGTTTTGACGGTTTCGTTGTTAGATGACCACGATCTCAAATTGAACCCACCAGGTGACATCAATGTTCGTGCATTCGTGTAAAATGCGATTGCTTCTTCGTTGTTTTGGGCCCCTAAGACCAGATCGTCTACATAGATATCTTCACGAATGTGTTCTGCAACTGGGTGATTGAATTGTTTCAAATGTTTATCTAGTGTTGCGTTTAGAATAAACGGAGAACTTGTCGCCCCGAATAATACGCGTTTGAATCGATAAACTTCAAAGGCACTATTTGGATCTTTCGGATCGCTCAACCAGAAGAAACGAGTGGCGTCACGATCTTCTTCATTCAGGACAATATTTAGGAATGCCTTTTCGATATCTGCGGTCATTCCGTACTTCTGTCGACGAAATCTAAGCAATATCGCTGTTAGATCGTTGAGAATCGGTGGTCCAGTGACCAGGCAATCATTTAAACTTGGTTGATTTGACGTACTGCAGCTGCAGTCGTACACAACTCGTAGAGGTGTGGTGGATGATTCTTTAAATACGGCATGATGGGGAAGATAGTGACAGGTTCCAGTGTTCATACTGGGGTTTTCAACTTTCTCGATAAAGCCTTGATTGCACTGATTAACAATCACGTCGTTGTACATCATAAGTTTCTCGGGATCAGCAGCTAGTCGCTTCACCATTGATCTCGTTCTTTGTTGTGCAATTCTGACGTTGGATGGTAGTATTGGTTGTTCTGGTTTCCAAGGTAACTTGGCATGATACTTTCCATCTTTCAGAGAAATGGATGTGTCTTGATAATGTAGTAGGAATTCTGAAGTATCATCTTTCTGATCTGACCGAATTCCGATTGAGTCAAGTTCCCAGAAACGTTGGAGTTCAAATTCGACATCTTTGCTTGCTGTCATTACGTTTAAGATGGTGGTATTTAGTGTGGATGTCTGGTTGATCAATGAAACAGGTCCAGATAGAAGATAACCGATTTTTGACTTGGCAGCAGTTGGACCAGGGCCTTTAATTATTTCCGTTTCAACGATATTCCAATAATGATCTGCTCCGATCAAGAGATTGACTTCGAAGGTGGTCTCATTTGTTATGGGGTGGGCAAGTGTTAGTCCGTTAAGGTGGGGTAAACTATGCAATTCAATAGTGGCAAGGTTCTGTAGTGGGGCAGAAATTTGAGGAACGGTGATAACTTCAATGGGAATTTTTTCTCATTGGTGGGTTTTCAGTTGAGCATAAGCTGGTATGGTGTTTGCGATGACAGTTTTTGCATCGACCCTTTGTCTTACATTGTGATACTACATGATTATCATTAAGGCAGTTGAAACATAGTTTAGAATCTCGTACTATGTTGAGTCGTTGTTGCTTATCGGTTACAATGGTGCAGTTAGTTGGGTTGTGTGAGCCTTTGCAATAAACACATGCTCGTTTCACTGGGGTTAGTGGTCGATGGTGTGACTTGTATGATGGGTTCTGTGATTGTCCAATTGTGAAGGCTGCTGTGGGTGGATCGGGGAAATAACCATGGTGTTTGTTAGAGGGATTGTTCTCTCCTGCTTCTAATATATTGATTTCTCTGCGTAATGCTTTTCTGAGCTCATCAAGTTTCCATTCATTACTGTTGTGTTCTCTAGTAAGTGTCTTAATCAAATCTGATGGTAACTTCTTATGGATTATGGGGACCAAGATGTCTCCATATGCTTCATGCGACTTTCCTAATGCTTCAAGTGCACGGATGTGTGTTTCCAGTGTGTCATAGAAATCCTTTAAGCTTTGCAGTGTACTCGTTGGGCTTTGAATGTTTAATAGTGCTTGCATGTGTGCACTCACTGCTCTGTGTTGTTGACCAAATCTCTCTTGTAAGAGTTTAATACTTTCTAGATAGTTATTATCAGTCAAGGGAAACCCAGCTATTGCTCTCGATGCTTCTCCAGTTAGTTGAGCTCTCAAGTAGTTCATTTTCTGAATGTTGCCTAAATGGGGATTATCATGTACTGCGGTGCGGAATGAATCCCAGAATGACTGCCAAGACAATGGGTTGCTATCGAATGTAGGTAGTGCTAACTTTGGGAGTCGACTTGTGTTATAATGACTGTTCGATATCGTTGGATTCGTGCTTGGAGCCGATGCACCAGTGACGTTAGGCTGTTCTACGTTTAAAACAATTGATTCTCCACTTACTGTACTTGATTGAATTTGATTTGATTCTTCTACTTGCGTTTCTTGTAATACCAATGGTTGATCTGTCGACTCACTTTAATTCATTGTTGGTTGTTGTGTTGCTATCTGATGTTGTTTGACTCTCTTCGATAGTGTTCGTTGGCTCCTTTATAGACGTTTTGCTCTCGGACTTGATGAAATTTTTGGTTAAATAAATTGTTTCTGTGATGAGGCTCTGCGTGTCTTCTGCCTCTATAATCTCCGTTTCTAGATCTACAGGTTCAGTGATTAATGCAAATATCTTCTCGTCTAGATCTGCAAGTACTTTGCCTTTTCGTTCAAGTTGTTCTAATAGCCCGCTCAATAGGGCATTCTGTTCGTTTTGTTCGATTGTTTTAGCTCCGTTATTCTCTTGAAAAGTTTCGTTAAATGTGCCTTGTGGGCTCTTCGAGATGCTACTAAACGTTGTTGTTCTTCCATCCTGGTCACGGCACCAATGTCATTTGTTTATAGTGATTTATTTAGGTTCTTCGTATAAAACATGCATATAGGAAAAACAACAATATTAACATAAAATGGCGCTTAACTGAAAAGCGCGCTAAAACAGTATGTACTTCATTTAACATATTGTCAGTCATTTTCGACAGTGCCTTTGGCTAATCAGAATCCATCGAGCACACATTCTAGTATTTTTTTGAGTGAACCACGCGCAGAGTATAAAAGTATTACAAGTTTATGAGGGAACAAAACTATATGTCAATCATTACCTTGAAATTAGCTCAGAAGATCACTGCTATTTCACAAATTAACGAAAGCTATCAGCCTTTCGCGTGGAAATAGCCAGATAATCCACACTGATAAAAGACGTGAAGTCACTGATAAAAGAACTTACTAATTCTCTTTTCAATGTTTCAATTACAAATTCCAACTCGCGAACATTTCTGAGAAAAGAATAATAATACAAAATTCACAGTCACTGAATTGGCATATGGCTAGGAAACTAGGAATGGCGGACATAGTGTCACGGAATTTAAAATTGACCCAAAATCTTACTTATTGGTCTTTTCAACGAGTGTTAATCGCAAGCAAAATTATCTGTACTTTAATGCACTGATCGATGTCATCATTATGATAACATTATGACAAGCATTATCATCCCAATCTTACCTTTCTCTTTTCAGTCAAGATCACATTTGGTCTGCAGTTTCTCCCGCTGACCATCAGCCTCCTTCATCTTAACGGCCATCCCCTCTTTCACCCACTTCAACTCTTTCGATCTCCCATCAATAATTTGATTCGTAGCGAGAAGCTGCTGACACTGACTTTCCAACTCTTATTTTCGAACTGTAATTTGGGTCAACTGGTTTTGCATGAGTTGTTTGGCGCTTTCGAGGGCGTCGCATTTGCTGCTGAGCCCAAGGTTTGCTTGCGAAACGTTTTCGAATTCATTTTGAACTGCGTTTTCTTGTTGCTTGTGTTGAGAGATAATGTTTTTCATGTCAGTCAGCTGCTTTTTCAAGCCGAATATCTCGTCTTCGTAGTATCGCCGTAAATCATCCAATTGCCTTGCGTGTTGTTCTCGTAAGCAGGCGTTTCTATAAACAAGGCACACCACGGCTGATTGCATTAGAGTGAATGGTTGGAAGCTGGGAGTATCCTTTTATATGTTTGTAGATGTTTATCGTACAGGCTAGTGTAGTCATAAGGACTGTTTGTGTTGTGTTGTTGACTGGCGTCTTGGCCGGTACTTTAGAGTCATGTGGAGAGTGAATGCCCGTTGTCGGCGAGATGAGTTGAGAAACAAGCTTGTGCCTGTTTCAAATTAACATCCGTACGGTACACAGGTTTTTTTGTCAAGAAAGCAGTGGCTTTTCCTTCACAACATACTGAACGTGTTGTAGGTGACAACACTGACCCTCTTCAGTTCAAAATAGTTTTGAACTTAGTGTAGGAAATTTACATAGGGTAGAGGGGGTGTAATAATTACACCTTTAATTTCCCCCTCCGTGTAGGGTCCTGAGTAAACTCTTAAGAAACTTTTGTTCGCGTTTTGACTGCTTAGAAAGGACAAAACAACTCTCAATAGTTCACACTTTAGCCAAACTTTCGCCACATCTATCTCCCGTTTACACGATGTAATTCCTGCATATGATACAAGTTTCAAATCAGTGACGAGTCGGTTAAATCAAGAGTCTTACCTATTTTGACATGTCATGTTCTGTTCACTTTGGTGTTTCCACAGCCTTTCAAGGCGTGCATTCTGTCGCTTCTGAAATCCCTCAACAATTTCCACTTGGAAACATCAAGGTAAGCTTCGGGTGGCCCTTCATCGTTGTTCTCAAAACTCCGATCCATGGGAGTGGATTGCCCCACGACGATTTCGTCCGCTAAAAATGTCTGCTTCTCACCCCCTCTGACCTTTTCACCTAGAAAAAGTTCGAGAAATAGTTTACACCAAGACGGAGCATATCTTTCTGTTTTGTCGGAGTGCCTTAAATCGATTTATGATCATGCAAACACAATTATCGCTAAGGCAATTGGTGCTTCAATTATAATATCAACTGATTGACGTCATGAATAGCAGGAATGTAAAACAACGCAATGCTTTGGTTTAAGGTCTACAGATAGTTTATCAGATGAAAAATTATTGCATAAATCGGGTGCATAGCTTCCCGTCATGAAGAAGAAGAGAGGTTTTTCCGTCAAAAATATTCAGTTAAATATACATATTATTAACGAGTGGAATGTATCTCTAAATCATTCCGCTAAATACGAATCGAAAATTAACCAACTAAGGACTCTGATTGATACAAATTAAATAATCCACCCTCCAGTAATTACGTCAAAACTTTTCCGTTTTGAACCACCTTAAATAAAACATATTCCAAGTTTTACTCTCACAAGCTATGCATGTGCAAAGATGTAAAACATCCTTCTTCAACACATGCGTCAGAAATAATTTTTTTTCTTTTGACAAATAAATTCAGAAATACGCCATAAGAAAAAAACGAGGCTCAGGTTTTGGGCCCCATTCTCGTGTCATAGCTATTTCTCGAAAGAAATTGTGTGATTTTAGACAAAGAAACAAATTCTTTGACTAAACCTCGCCTAATACATTGGTCGCAAACATGAAACATAAAGTTCAAAAGCACTCCACTTGCGCTAAACCGCATGCATGCTCGCCTTCATTCTATTGTGTTACCGCGCAGATAATTCTGACGTCACGAACCATGTTCCCCTCAATCATGACTAGAAGCTCCTTTTTGTCATTTCATCCCCCACTAAGATATCCTTAAAATAGGCCCTGTGATCAAATGAGGATTGAAGTTACGTCAACATATCTCTAAACTGAAAATAATTTAGGACGCATTAATTCATCTAGGAAGCTGATGATGGCAAGTACAAATTGAGGCAAGTTCAAATTGACTCAAAGATTCAATTTTAATACCAATATAAGAGCAAGGTAATGTCAAGTTGAATGTTTTCAAATTATAACTGACTCACTTCCTGCATGTGAATCAGTGTCTGATTTAAACTACGAACCAATGCACATGCATGGCGACCGAATAAGCCCCGTTTGCGCTATTTTTGGCGAAAAAAACCTCTCTTCTTAAATGATGGCAAGCAAAGTACCCAATTTATGTAATAATTTTTCAATAAGCTCTTTGTATATAAACCGTAAACCAAATCATGTTAGCATGAGGTAGTCGAAATTCGTAAATATTCCTGTACATATTCTAGCCGTGCCGTTTTAACACATTGATTATAGTGCCGGTAAACATGACTCATTTGTTGCCATACGTGTTCGGATATTGGTTCGTAGTTTAAATTAGGAAGAGGCAGTTCTAAGACATTCAACTGGTCCTAAATGGATACTCATGTGAGTCAGTCTTGTGCATGGCTGTCGGTCTGCACGATTGATCGATTTTACAAAACGCAGTAAAGTGAAAAAACGAAATTATATATTCTTATATTACTTTACTTATATTTAGCATCAAAATTGAATTTCGAAGTCAATTTCAACTTGGCATTGTTCTCGTTTTGGTTAATTGGTTTGAATCTAATTAACTTCCTAGATTCACGCGTGTATAGATAATTACTGCAAATGTTTAATCACCTTCTTTGAACCACATGCAAGCATCTCTCTTTTGTCGACTGAAGAGTTTGCCTTGGTCCCCGATAATAACCTATCAATAAACTATACGACCTTCCATTTTTTCCTATATCGATCAACACACCTTCCCAGAGATATGTTGACGAAACTTCTGAAAATATATACATATAAACTGATTCTTGAACTTTGCCCGGTGCACGTCTCAATGTTACAGACATGATCTCATACTAAAGCCCCTTTACACTACACTCAATTTTTTGGTACGGCACGGCTAAAATGGGTACCCGTGCCCATTTCATCTGTGCTCGGCCTTTGTTTTGGTAGCATGAGCACTAGTAAAATTGGGCACGGGTGCCAATTTTAGCCGTGCCTGCCAATTTTAGCCATGCCTTGCCGATAAATTGATTGTAGTGTAAACGGGCCCTTAAGAACCAACATCGGAATTATTCGCGGAGACACAATAGATTAGAGGTTTCTATGCGTTTCAGCGCATATGCACTGATATTGAACTTTTAATATGTGTCATCTTTGCGACCATCGTATCAGACCAGGTTTTGTCATAGAAATTGTTTCTTTATATAAAAACACACGATTTGTTTCGAGAAAATATCGAAAAACTATTCCGTTTGTTCAATTTTCACTCTGGGTTATTTAATATTGTTAGAATTTTTTCCACTTTACAGGAAGCATTTCTCAATATCGGTCAACCATGCAGGGCTATCCACATGGACTTTCACGAATATACATTTATGTCAAGTTCAATGTCTCAAAAATGATTCTGCCTAGTTCAAAATAATATTTTGCGGTAATAATTTTAGCGTAAAAACCTTCGTCATCACACAAGACAAGCTAAGTACCCAATTTATGTAATAATTTTTCTTCTTATAAACTTCTGTAGACCTTATTAAACCAAAGGATGCGTGCATACGGCAGTCATATAATTAATGATCCGGTAACAATACTAGCCGTGTCGTTTTAGCACATTGATTGTAGTGCATGCATATAAACAAAGCTCGTTTGTTGCCATACGTGTTCGGATATTGGTTCATATAGTTTGACTAGGAAGAGGCAGTTCTAAGACATTGAACTGGACCAAAATGGATATTCGTGTTAGTTCATGTGTATGGCTCTCAGTTCGCACGATTGACCGAAAACGATCACACTCATAAAATTAAGATATTTTGGGCCATAAGTGCCATATCTAGATAGCTACACGAAGCAATCACAGCTGCCCGTTTGAACTATAAGTATATATAACCTATCAATAAACTATACGACCTTCCATTTTTTCCTATCGACACACCTTCCCAGGGATATGTTGACGAAACATCTGAAAATATACAGTCATCATATCAACTGATTCTTGAACTTTCCTTGTGCACGTCTCAATGTTACAATTTCTGTGACAAAACCTGGTCCGATACGATGGTCGCATAGATGACACATGCTACCAAAACAAAGGCCAAGCACAGATGAAATGGGCACGGGTACCCATTTTAGCCGTGCCGTACCAAAAAATCGAGTGTAGTGTAAGTGGGGCTTATTTGTCTGCATGGTTGATGCTATTGAGAAATACCGTAGAGTGAAATTTTATATAATCTTATATTACGATATTTATATTTATATTAAAATTGAATCTTGAAGTCAATTTTAACTCAATGGCCTCAATTTGTACTTGCCATCATCAGCTTCCTACAGATCAAATAATGCGCCTAAATAATACATATATACATGAAATAACAACCACCAAGGATTATACACTATTTCCACAAGGTCTTTGTTCACTCTTTGTCATTGCTATCCCCTTATATAAGGAGATTCGCGTGCAAATATGTTGTGGAAACCCTGGTGCAGTGGAAATGAAATTTAACGTAAACGGTGCTATAAATTATATCTGTGCTTTTGATTAATAGGTTATAACACATTCGAATGCTTTGTGATACGCATAATTATCAGTCGGTTTTATTGACTCTTCGCCCGAAGACCCTTCCGTCGTACAACACGAGAGTCGGTTATTTTTAGCCGTGTGCCGCTTCGCGCCGCTGTCTCAAAGGAGTGAATGCGCGCTGAAGATATGCTGACGTCACGCTGTTTATTCGTATATTTTTCCGGCGGAATATGAAAACAACAACAATATATAAAGAGGCTTGTTTTAGCTTGTATGCACAACTGATCGCCAACCATCTTGCTGTCCATTCGAGGATCAGAGAGGACTATAAATTACAAAGGTAGAGGATTTACGATATTGTACAAATTGTTTGATTATTACATGCAATGAATATCAGCTATTGAAATAGCGTGTCCTTGTAAATGCGAATGTGTTCTTCTAAATGAAATAGGGTGTACCTGCAATTAATGGACGCGTGATTGCTATAAGTACAATTTTTATTTGAAAATAAATGGCTATTCTGAAATGGCTATTTTTAAGTATCTAGAGGACTCAAATGTCAAAATTTTCTCACTCCGCGCCAACCAAAGTACAGCGCCTCGTCCTTGTCGCCGTTTTTGAGAAATATTCCATGCCTCTGAGATTTCATATCTATATATTGTAACTAATATAACAATAGAATTGATGTTCGCGGGCATAAATATGTTTTTGGCCCGACTCTGAACTCATTTTGTATAAAAAATTATGCAATGGGTAAAAACTTCTGTCATTCTTCTAATTGGCTTAAACCAGCAGGCTAAAATATATTTCAGCCCGGCAAATGTATCATTTTAGCCAGCAAAGTACACCGCAATTCCCACCAAAGTTAATATAATAGACGGTTCAACAAGCCAATGTATAATCAATTCGGTATATATCAATATATGCTTTACATGTATGTAGCTATATATTTAATAGTTCGAGACACACAGTGTTGGGCGACGCATGCAAGTGTGTATTTCCACTGACAAAGTTGCCCATTCATAAGGGATAGCAAATATAACAAAACATAATTTACGAAAATAGCTTTGTATAGGTCGAAGCAAGTAGTGTTTTCACAATTTTTTTTCTTTTAATTATTACTGAATGGATTGGTTTTCGGCCTAGATCAATATTCACGAAGGAATTGGCAAGGAACGTACAACAAAGTGAAAATATTTCACTGATTTATATATAGGTCATTGTAAATTTGTGTTAAGCATATTTACGGCATACAATGCAAGCGCAGATATACGAGGAAGGAATAGTCAATAGTAAGCGAGGCTTGTATAGGTTGGAGCAAGCGATGTGTTTACAACATATTTGCTTCATTATTATTTTTGAACCGGGCAAACCATCCGGAAATACACGTAGTTGCACTGTACTGTACATCTGATTTCAAACCAAATGTCATTAAAGATCCTTTCAGTGCATGACTGCACTGTCATATTATAGTCATTGTTAAATATTATATCCTTACTGAAAGGTATACCTTTCCATTTAGTTGAACGTTATCGTACCCGGAGTTAACGCCTGATCTTGCCGTCTTACACTGTTATCTTTGAAATGTGAATAAAAACATTACGATTCGTTTTTAGGTTAAATTAATTGCTGTTGCTATTGTTAAAAAATCAACCATGAAAGAAGGTATTTTATCCGTTTTCTACATGCACATGATTTTTCGTTGCATCAGAGTTGTTGAACTTTTTCAAGTTCCTCTGCCGTGCCTTTATATGATACAATTACGTACACTATATATATATATATATATATATATATATATATATATATATATATATATATATATATATATATATATATATATATATAGATTTGTTATATGCATGACTCGCGCGGGCCTTTTCGCGATAGTTGTGCGTTCAATATATGAAGCCGCGTACACTAGCTATTGGACCAAAAGAAGAACTAGTGGCGTTGAGAATATAATTTGTCATCTCATGTAGCTGGATCAGTTGGGGCATTCGAAGGAAGCAATGCATGACAATATATTCCTCGTTTGGGGGATAATATTACGCTGCCCATTGGACTACCAAAACGGCAAGTCTTCACATCACCCGTGTTAAAAAACGTCTGAAACGTTCGCATGCATAACAGTTCAGAGCTAACAGAGAGCTGTTATTCTATTTCTTTATAACTTCTGTCATAAAATAATCGTTGGTCAATCATTCTCCAGCGTAAATCATTAGAATACGGTGCAGGCATTTTTGATTGACAATAACTAGTTTACGCGGCTTCATATATTGAACGCGCAACTATCGCGAAAAGGCCCACACGAGTCATGCATATCGTAATATTTGTCCTTAGTATACTCTAGGTAAGTGTAAACGTAACATCTCAATGTCCGAGCTAGACGTCACTAACCTTTGGTTTCATTGATGGTAATCGTGATTAATTTTATATTCCCAGGTCTCGCTTTTGTTCTAGCACTAACCACAGCTTATATGCTGTCAAGTTCGCTTGTTACGTCACAAGCGTCACAAGGTAAATTTTTTTTTCCGTAGTATATTGAGCATAATAGCTGAACTGACTAAGGATCAACCTGGCAGCGGCCTCCTGGTAATCCAGGCGGAAATCGAATCCCAAATGCTATAAAGATTATAATGGCTAATAAATTGTTTTTAAAAGAGCATAAAGAACATAGCGTTTATAAAAAGTCAATGACCCAATCAGTGACGGAACGTATTGGCTGAAGAAATCTTCAGACTAAGAGCCGGACTAAGTTACAAGCGAATATAAATTTTATAGTGAGGTAATGAAGGTATAATGGTATATATGGCGTGCCTTTAACGGATGGAATAATACTTAATTCTGCTTTGTCAGATTGCTTTAAGCCTGTTACACGGTTCAATTTTTCTTGCAACTTGCAATATAATTCTTCTTTTGAGAGATGTAAATTTGGCAACTACCGGACTTTTCTCTTTATTACACTCCATGGCGTTTCTTACACTTACATTTTGAAGACTCTTCACTAATTTACATCTCTTAAAAGTAGAATTGCATTGCAAGTTGCAAGAAAAATTGCACCGTGCAAATTGCCCTTTAAATCGAGTTGTGATCATGCAAACACAATTATCGCTAAAGCAATCCCAGCCCATGATGCTTCCACAATCTGCATGCTTCAGGCTTACTTATTAAGTAAGACGTCTTCAATTCTATATATATTTATATATTATATATATACATATATATATATATATATATATATATATATATATACATATATATATATATATATAATATATTATATATATATATATATATATATATATGTACAATAAGAATTGCATATGTTGTGTAATATGATTGAAATCCCATTCGAATGTATTCATATGCAATTCTAATTAGACTTTGAGTATCTATCTATCTATCTATCTGCGGCAAACGTTTTTGCAAATGGGTGTATATATATATATATATATATATATATATATATATATATATATATATATATATATATACATATTGTGTTGTTGCTTGTTCATTTATATCCTTTCCTCTAGTATGTGGACCAGATGGCAATACTTATCCCAATCATTGTGTATTGGAGGAGACTGCTTGTGTATTCAACGAAGGAACCCTAATTTATAGCGAAGGACCTTGCGGTAAGTAAATCATTTCACTAAAAAAGTCTTCTCCAGGAAATTTGAGAAAAATAAGATAATAGGATGGAAGAATAGTTATCATTGCATCTATTACTGCATTCTGACGCAACCTCTTTCCTTTCGTGTACCAACGATACTGCAATATTTAAGAAATAGAAAACATTTTCCGTGTTTCTATACAGTTATAGAAACACGCCTGGGAGTTTGGGAGAACAAAAAATAATCAGTGGGAAAACGAGCCCGTATATGGCGAGTTTTTAAAGTTATTTCGAGTTCTCCCAAACTCCCACAAGTGTTTCTATAACTGTATAGAAACACAGGAAAAAATGTTTTCTATTTCTTTTATAATATAACTCAATAAAAAGATTTTGTACAAATATTATAATTCGATTTAATTACAAATTCTCATTACATCGCTTCGCTTGTCAAGTTCGGCGGGAAAATTCCCGTGTTTCTATACAGTTATAGAAACACGCTTCTCGACCAATCAGCACGCGCGTACTATAAATGTTATACTATAAATGTTATTGTTACTTTAGTGTTAAACTCAATGCACAGTGAATTTTACAGGGGCCGGTTGTATGAAAGCTGGATAGCGCTATCCACCGGATAGTGATTTTTTGAACCGTTCTAAAAATGCTTGAAGAACATTAAATTTTTAGTTTTGCCGGAAAAACACTATCTAGTTGATAGCGCTATCCGGCTTTCATACAGCCAGCACCTAAAACGTAGACTTGTCTCTGCCTCAGATCCAAAATGTGCGCAAGTCTGCCCTGTTAACTACGACCCACAATGTGGCACCGACGGCAAGACATATCCTAACCCGTGCCTGTTGAAAGTTTCCTTGTGTAAAACTAACGGAGTAGTGAGATTGGATTATCACGGAGCGTGTGTAAGTAACATGCATGTGTACAACAATATTTTCAGTTTGTGAGATGAACATGCATCCCAAATATATTGCAATATTCATGTACATATGAATCTACAATTCTCACCAGCGATTCGCATCAGCTAATAAAAAATACAATATCTAACTGCATGTGAGCTTTTACGAGATCTGACTGGCTGAGCTAGTAGAAAATGTTCCTGCTCATGATCGTCAATTAAATATTACGTTCGTCCTATATTATGGTGTTAAATGACTCTGCGTACACGGTACATCAAAACAATTTTGAGAATCAGTATATAGTGAAAACAGACTTCGGTCTATTTTCTCCATTTGTGATAACGTGCAAATGATCCAATTTTTGTTCATGCCCGATAATTTCGTCATAGCGTTGACGATGAGTCATGACATGAACTATAATTGATGTCACAAGCAGCAGAAATGTAAAACAACAAAATTAATGCGGGGATATAAATTTGTATCACCCGTTTTTTAGCTCGCCTGCACTTTAGTGCAAGAGAGCTATTGCTATAGTCTTGGCGTCCGCGTCCCCGTCCCCGTCCCCGTCCCCGTCCCCGTCCCCGTCCCCGTCCCCGTCCCCGTCCCCGTCCCCGTCCCCGTCCCCGTCCCCGTCCCCGTCCCCGTCCCCGTCCCCGTCCCCGTCCTCGTCCTCGTCCCCGTCCCCGTCCGCGTCCACACTACATGATAAGTAGAATGTTAAGATGCCACTTTTATTTTCCCATTATTTTCAACTTATCTACTTAAGGAGTCTATTTGTTGCAAAAGAACCATTTACCAGGGGGGAGTGAAAATTATACAACAAAATATAATGATAAGGTCAATGTTAAAATGCTATATTTTTTCTATACTTTGGCTTTACATCAGAGGAATCATTATCAATATAAGTCATCAATATGCATTGTGACTATTTAGTGCCATTTTGTACACATTTATACAATAATAAAGAGAGTTTTGCTCAAAATTATCAAATGATAAGGTGAATGTTAAGCTAATTAGCATAATGATAAGGTCAATGTTAAGATGTTATATTTTTTAAATATTATGGCTTTGCATCAAAAGATTCATCATAAATATAGCTCATCGATATGTCTTGTGACTATATGGTGACATTTAGTACACATTTACACAAAAATAATGGGAATTTTGTTCAAAATTATCAAATGATAAGGTGAATGTTAAGCTAATTAGCATAATGATAAGGTCAATGTTAAGATGCTATATTTTTTAAATATTATGGCTTTACATCAGAGGAATCATCATAAATATAAGTCATCGATATGCATTGTGACTATTCAGTGCCATTTGGTACACATTCATACAATAATAAAGAGAGCTTTGCTTAAAATTATCAAATGATAAGGCAAATGTTAAGCTTATTAGCATCATGATAATGTCAATGTTAGAGTTATCCAGAGTTATCACGCTCATTACGATTTTCAGGGCTATTGTGTAGCCCTGTTTTTTTTAGTTCAAAGTTGTAGCTGAATCATATTTAACGAAAGTATTTGTACAACCCTAAGCCAAATGAGAAATTTTCAAATATTTTCACCTGTATGCTACCATATGTTTGTATTGCATGTACATGTACAATTATAAATTATGAGATTGTGTTGTGACATGCCGTATCAAAATTCAATCGCTTAATATAGAAATCATTCAGGGAGTGAATATAATTATATAAAACATAGTCCAACGTTAAAGTTTAAAGAATATTGTCAGATAATTCGCAATTACAAGCTTTAGCACATAAGTATTTATAAGTAGAAAGCCGATAGGCTCGGAATGCAAAGGCAAATGGCAACGCATGTGACATATATTTGCATATTATTTATGTAGATACACATGCAAATATATTATTAAAGCCAGTTAAATTGTAGACAGGGCCCTATAAGATTTATGTACATACCTTTTCGTTGTTTGATGCATAATCCTTTTTTGTGTAGGTATAAAAATCCAATCTTGTCTTTTTCATAAAGCTAGGCGCACACACGACGATTTTAGTCGGCCGATTCCTGTCTAGATTGTCTAGATGGATGTTTTCATCAAAATGTGGCGACGGGCAATCTATACTTGGTCAGATTAGACCAAGTAGACTCGCGTACACGCGCGAGGCGCGAGCGCCGCGAGAAGGAAAACATGTCTGGGCAAGGGCTGCCTATATGTCTAAACCTGAATGGACCAACTACCGTAAAATCGTTGTGTGTGCGCCCGGCTTAAAGCAGGGCCTTTTGCCTGGTCCGTTAACTTACCTGTTGATATCACGTGCGCGGATTGTGAGAAACGGAAGAAATATTGGTCACAAATAAAACTAATGTAATTCCGAGGCCAGTTTTGGCCAGTAATTCTGAGGTCACAACTAATATCTGGGATTTTAGCCTTGTAGTTTCTAATAAAAAGATCGGTAATTTGTGCTTCATACAGATACCTTTCATACATTCCTTATTCTAGACAAACAGTGCAGGCGAGCGTTAGGTGGTTTCAGCACCTCTCTGGTTTAAGTTAACAATTGAATTCGGTTTTTACATGATATGGGGAATTATCAAGTTTCAGTTTGTCGTTATTAACTTCAAACGTCGGCTTGATAATTTTTCATATCATGTTCAACCTCATCCAGTTATTGTTAAGTATTATAACATACAACTTGTATATATACAACCCTTTTTCATAGTAACAATTGCAATATCCTATAAGTAACTAGCAAAGTAAAAGGACATTTTTCTATCGTACTGCCAACATTTTTTTGTTTAATTACTTAATCGTGATAAAGTCAATTTCATTTCTTCACAGTTATTGCCAAATGAAAAGTAAACAAGAATCATGAAGATTTGATGACATACGTTTACTACAATTGATGTGTAGAGAGGGGGTCTTCATTCGCGTAGTTTGTGAAGCATGCTTGATGTAATTTTCGTTTGTTGTAGGGGAATATATGTGCTACATTCTTCAATCAATTTACAAATAAATGGTTGATCATGAATTTGCTGTAGTTCTTAATATGAGTGGTTTTCGAAGTGATCGCTTCTATCTAATTCTTTTTCAGAAGAAAAAAATGGAATTTATATACTCCTTTTAGGGTACATCACACAACCCACGATCCTCAATTTGGATGTTATTTATGATCAGATTATGCTTTGGCTGTGTCGGAACTTTAAAGTGACAAAACAAAGGACTAATTCATACGCGTCACATTTTGGTCGCGTCAAATGCACTTAAACAACAGCCATGAAGTGAGAACCATAATTTTACCATCATCATCTCATTATCTGTTGTTTGAATATGCCTTGAGTTTTTTCCAGCAAACTAAGAATATGTGCAGATGACACTGATCACGAGTTCACCTTTGCATGTGCGCCACGTTTTACGTAGAAGTATTAATTTGTGTAAAACGAAATTCTCCCTTGTTCGTCTGCGTATAGCAATGAACATTGAAAATGAAATATCAAAACTATGAGTAACTGCGTGATGGTAAGTGGTTTGTACTGGATTGTAGTATAGCGTGTACTTGCTCTCAGTTAAAGTTTGTGAAGGTTTTTTTGCCGATCGGAGATACCTTTGCCGATCGGCGATATTAGCCAATCAGATTGCAGGAAAGGCTAGGATTCCGCCCGCTGCTGATTGGTAAAAAAATAAAACGAATTATGATACATAGGAAGGAGTCCCCTTAATTTTGAACGTTTTTTCTTTATTTCTTTGCAAGAAGGCTTTACGCATAGCTCGACGTTTGCTGACAAGCTATAATTAATGTGAGACAAAGTTAATTATATTTTATAACAGCAAATGGCGAAAAAATATACGAAATTGATCATACATAAGTATAGCCCTTCTATTTATGAAGAAGAGAGGTTTTATGCTTGTATATAAGCATTCGGTTTGCATATGAACGAACATTTACAGAATTTGAGGTGCAAATACGGTGAAGTAGAAGGAATTTCAATTCAAGAATACAAAAAGGGTAAAATTGAAATCCGCCATTTTTTTAACACGTTGCAAAAACACGTTAGATTGAATATTTTGAAAGAAAGCATAAAATTTCGTAGATTTTGAGATTTCGACTCAATTCTTCCACGCAAAATATTTATCCTAGCTGAAAAGAACTTTAGGCTAAATATCGATTTTATTTTATTTTCACTATAAAACAATAAAGTAACTCTTTCAATTAGTACTTAGATAAATTATTTGCAATTAAAATCTCTGTTATAATAATATTTAAATATTTTTTGAACAATTTAAAGAAAAAAACCAAGAAAATACGAGTTCGATGAAAAATCTTGGTGATTCGAACATCGCATATTTTTAACCGTAGTGGCGTTGGCTAAACGATTTGCTGATATATTTTGGAAGTACCAGGGGCGCCGTGGCCGGGGGGGCCAGGGGGGGCCATGCCCCCCCCCCAGGATTCAAACCTGTCGGAAATTTACGAACATTGCATGTTGTCGGAGTATATTAATCATAACAGAGACTAGGCTATTTTTGCATTTGTGGCTGTGTTATGCTGAACAACCCAAAAGTATTTAAACTATCAGAAAATAGACGCGGTTATTTCTAATATTAGCTATACGGTACGACACTACCCCAAGTTTTTATTATACTGTTGTCGCGCAGGCTAAACTAGCTGTTTTTTCCGAACGTTTCCGGTTTCGATAAACATGCATAGTTTCTATTAATATAACATTACGCAAGGAATGTAATTTTCGAAATGTCGGAGATTGGCGCGATAAAATCGCGATGAATGGCGATGTATCTTCGACCGCATTTATTGTTTAGTGAGTTTATACAGTCTATTGCATTATATGGTGACTGTCTAAAGAAACACCAGCATGTTCCGTATCAGAATGCTGGACCTACAGCAAATCCTTTTCAAGTTTATAGTACTTTTAATCAAACGGTTTCTGAAGTTTATACAAAGATAAGGTACCACGATAGTACAGCAGAAGAAGTAAACTGATGAGAGGATTGAAGCAATTGCGAATATGTTTATATTTTGGTTATAAACAAATGTTGCGTATAGGATACGCAGCTGTATGTCATCCACTAAGGTTACAAAGCTATAATAGAGTATCGTGAAATAACGTATCGCGTTATTTGTTAATGCATGTGGATTAGAAATTTCTGTAATACAGTTTTCCCACAAACAGTTAACTGTATCAAAAATTATTAAACTACTCAATTGAAAAGCGTATGTAAAACGTGAATATTTATCAGTCATATTCATTGTGCATGAAGTGTTAATTTAAATTAGTAGACGTAGCTCGTGATCTTTGAAATAGCAAATGCATGCGCGTCCTTGCCTAAAACCCCTTGTCAGTTTTATCAATATTCATTACTTTTTTCTTATATAAAGATGTCGGGAAAAAAACGTGCTGGTCGGAATAATGTTGCCTTTGGCCACCCCTATATTAGCACACCCACGGCGCCCCTGGGAAGTACGCCAGTTTATGAAGTAATTTACGTGGTGAAGTTGTCAGATTAGCATTTCTTTATACACTACTGATCTGTACAGTTGTTATTTACATAACTTAAACCTGGTATTAAATATATATACGAAAGCTAAAAGTGATTCGTAGTTTAACGAAGGCTCGGAGGTTTGAATAAGGCGTGCTGGGAATTTTAAATAGGTCTATACTACGGGTAAAATTTTGATCATATAAAGAATACATTCAATATTAGTTGCCATATTGTTATATGTTAACCTGTATTTTTTCTATGAGGCGCAATGAATCGAGTTGAAGCCATAATTATAAGTTAGCGATGAATCTAGTTCCCAGAACGTTATATGTTTTCTAAGTATATTTGCTATAGATTTTTGCTGGAAACGTAAGACTGAAGTAGTATATAACAACTAGTTAAAAAACACATTAAAAAGTATCGAGGTTACTTCGCTCACCCGTTATACTTTGATTAAAATATACGTTTTAAAACTTTCTCTAACAGCAATTTGGTCTCTTTCAATTGACTACATCATTTATACGCGCACACTTTACCAACGGAATTATATCCTGTGACTTTTTCTACTTGAAAGCTTTCTTAAACATTTTCCTTCCCTTGGAGAAAATATTCCCCTTTTTCTTGTGAGGAATTCCGCCATCTTCAGTGGGACTATGGTTGAGGTTTCTCAGTGACTGTTCCTAAAATGAAGTAGACGAGTAATTTTTACAGATATAAATATCCGCAACTTCATTTTTTGCATTGCATGCTGCTATAAGGGATTTTTCCCTTGAATAATTAAGCCGAACTACTCGGAAATTTGGGCAATTTGCAGAAAAATATTCACCCCAATGTGTTAAAAGATTTATCAAGCCCATGAGCTATGTAGACTGATACAGAAAGTACATGATTCAAGACAACTTCCAGCGATTACGATAGATTAGCATATTTCTGGTTAAATTTTAAAGGAATGTGAACATGCATGTGCTCAGGAAGAATTGAATCGTTCCATTCGTGCGCTTATCGTGAAAAGAAAAGAACTAAAAAAAGGTGACTAGTGACAATTCCTGCGCACAAATGTGAAAAATGTTTCTACTTGAAAATTACAAATGCAAATCAAAAGGACATCTCCAAAGACTTAAACAGGAAAGGCCCCACTTACATCGAAGAAACCGTCGTCGTGGATCTCACCAAAAACGAAAATCATCTCCCCGGACTTGAACTTCAATTCAACCTATAATATTCCATGACAATTCAATTATAAAAAAAACAAGATTTCTTTGCATTCGAGATTACGGACAAATTGCAGCAAGATCATTTTTTCTCGCAAAATGTATAGAGCTAATATAACGGAGCTAATTATTTTTTTTGTTAAACACCAGTTTAAATTTGGCGTAATAAAAATGTTAAATTGTTTGTTTAAAAATGCATCACATCTCTTCCCCTTTGGACTTATATAAATTGAAACTGGTAAAAATTTCATACCTCACTGTCAACGTTAGGAGAATCGCTCAATGGGTCATAACATACAAAGCTTTTATCTTTCAAGCTTTCATTTCGCAAATCATCACTTTCCAAATTCTCCCAAAACGACAACCTGTCACCACTAGTTCCAGTCTCTCCAAGATTCTCCGAGATAATATTGACGTCCAGTTCCCCATTGACTTGGTCATGTGAATTCAGCTCATTTTGTAATCTGACGTCATTGGTATCTTCGTTAAACAAGTCTTCTGCTTCGTTGATATCGACTTCGGAGACCATATTTGATGGAACCAATCCTTGCTTGAGTTTACATTCACCCCAGAGGAAACCATCATCGTCCACATCGCCAATCACCTGAGACAAAGAAAAACATTACAAAGATTGTTCTCAGATGACATTCAGAGCCAACTTCTGTGAAAGTGGCTGCTGCATATATACTAATATAGCACATATACATAATATACATACTATATACTATATATACTATATATACTATATATACTATATATACTATATATACTATATATACTATATATACTATATACTATATATATACTATATATACTATATATACATATATGTTATGCTATGTGCTATGTGCTATGTCCTATGTCCTATGTTCCATGTACTATGTACTATGTACTATGGAGTTAGTCCTAAATCTAACCTTAATCTTAGGGATTAAGTTCGAGTATTTAGGATTTGAACATGAAATACATTTTAACGTTTCCTCTGTCTTTTAATAATTTGTCTTTGTTTCATTTTTGAGTGTCTAGTCCATGATTATGTTCAATGTTTAACAGAATATCCTAACTACGCGGATTTAATCCTTGAGATTAGGTCTTAGATTATATTTGATTGGAGTTAATCCTAAATCTAACCTCATTCTCAGGGATTAAGTTCGAGAACTTAGAATTTGAACATGAATTATTACCTTTGTCGTGCTTCAAACGGGAATCCTGCTAAATAATACTTGTATATTCAATCTCTTTCCCACAATGTTTCTGAAACTGACTTACCCTGATA